ATGGGAAGGTTATATTCTTAAAACCAAAAAAAGACACTTGGCGAGCTGATGAAGTTATCAAAATAAAAAAGACAGCAGGAAATTCAATGATAGTTGAACCAATTAAAAGCAAATAAAAAAGATAGCATATCCAATTTTAATACTGAGCGTGGTAACTATTGGATAGATTGTGTATTGAATGTTAGAACCGGATCTAGATCATGAGCAACAAGGAAAAACCAGAGAAAAATGAAGATGATAAACTGCTCAAAGGTTCAGAGGTAGCCATCAGAAAGCAAAGAGTTATACTTAAGTCAAGGCAATCCAAAATTAGCAAACAACACTAATAACAAACATTTTGTCAAACTCTAAACTGAAGTTGAAGCAAAAGTACGAAATTCAGTAAAGATGGCAGAAAAACACGCTACAAGCTTACAAGCTTAACTTTTTAACCTTTCTTTTTTCTTGTATTTGTCATTTATCTTGCCATTAGGATGAACAAGCCAAAAATTGTTGCCAGGCACACATCGAAAATGTTCTACAGCCGCCTTTTGAAAGCTGCATAAGCCGTATCAATAAGCGTTAAGAAGCGAGGGTAATACAAATTGCTTGTACAGCATATCCAGTCAATCAAAGGCATCTATCTAAGCCCTATGACATGTGAAACACGAAGAAACAGAAACCTGAAACCGGCTCATTCAACATGCCTAGTAGTTGAAGCTCCGAAAATCCATATTCAAACGGTATGAGTATACGTAGTCTATGGTATAGTTGATACTGGGAATGCTTAAACATCGCAATGAGCAATAACAGTCAGCGGATTTTACTTCGTAAACTAAACTTAAAGGACATCGATGATGAGTTTATTGTTTACAAACCATGAGTAAAAGGAATTTAGTGCTGAAATAATTAGTAAAAATAGCACAAATATATAATCTTAAGTTTCACTAAATATAAACAAAACGTTTGGCATCAAGAAAAAATACCATTGTACGGTGTATGTGGCAGTCTGTGTCCGATAGCATACTCGAGTATCAAGAAAAACAGTTCTCTAATCTCTAAAACAGATAAATATCTTACGAGAAAGGGACTCAAAACAGAAGAAAAGTGAAGCAGACTCCATAAACAAGTCTTCACATTTTACTATAAGATCGCTGTTGATGAGTCCCTTTTCAACATGCCTGTGAAAAACTAACTCTCAGGTAAGCGTTCTCACCAGATACTGGTCTACTCCACCAGTAAACAAAGCAATTACTGTTTTAAAACATGGATATCTTAACGATAACTTGAAAACACTGTCATGAACTGCCACTTTGATAATTTTAACTTAATTTGCTTTGTACTCAACTTCGCTAAACTTTGGAACTGAATGCTGACCTTGTCAACCTGTTAGATACACTAAGATTACCCTCAGTAAGACACTTAAGGTTGGAAGCCATATCTTAACTACAGCAGGGGGAACAAACATAGCATATATCCAAAAACATTTTCCAGTGGCAAATACACAGAACTGGCCGAAAAATAAAGCATCTGATCCAACCTGCTAACAAGATGATAAGGCTTCGAGGCCAATCTAATTTATTGGTTTCCTTATCAATTTGCATGAAAACAATCCCTTGATTTTAAGAATACTTTGCCACAACAAAGTTAAATAACTGTTGTTTAGTAGTCTTCTGGTGCTATGTTTGTGCTATGAATTTGGTGAAGTAGACGAATTTCTTAAAGTTTCAAATATATAACAGATTGTTGTTTGATTAGTTGCATCTTGCTAAATATTATGACTTGAAATTATTTCATTTCGAATTTAGGTAGGTTTAACCGAAATGGAAAATCGTCTACGAAAAAAAGTAATAAATTTGGCGTTCATCACGCAAAAACAGAAAGGGTGACGGTTAAAACACTGAAATGTAAGGTTAAAACACAACTATGAAAGAAACAAAACCTGCGCCCCTGAACTTATGAAAATTTATCTATTCCTACCTGGAACATTGCAAAAAACAGGACGGTTTTATCCGTACCTTCTCCCATACCGCTTGTCCAGATGAAACAAACATTGGACTGACAAGATCCTTTCAACGAATTGCATTGAACTGGATTTTCAAATACTGTTCGTTGAAACAGCAACAAAGCTTACGTTTTCCAAACAATATGACAAGATCTTAAAGGTTATTAACAAATTATACATTATTTAGCTAAAATAATATTTTTGCTCTAGGACTACAAAGTTTTAGAGAGATATTGTGCATAAAAGAGACAGAAACATCTTATCTTAAGATATTTGCATGAAAAGAAAAGGTTTTCAACGTTCAGTTTAGCTACATTTCTAACAAAGACTTGTACAATTCCTGTATCAACTAATCCTGGGTCAATGACAGTAAAGTCTAGAATCACTAAATGTGAATACTGAGACAATTTCTAGTATGTGTCTGCTCATTATTTCGCAGAACGAGCGATTCCCTCTGGTTTTTGTTGACTAGTGGGTTTCTTAACGAATGAGCCTCACTACTACATGCAAGAACACAAAGTGATCATAATGAAGCTAATTGGTTAAAATTCAAACGTCAGTCAACAAGACCCCAATCAGAACCACTATTCATGTGAAGGACCAATCAGAAATTTGAAGTCGTTGAAGTGTCCATATATAGTAATTTCAAGTAACTCTAATGAAGGACTGTACGACAGGGTGATAAAAAACAGCATACGTGCCCAAAAATACCGACTGCCTTCAATAAGTTTAGACAAAAGTGAAATAAAAAATTGATTTTCAAAACTAATTCAAATTACCGATGGATGACAACAGAAAACATGGCAATCAAAGACATGGTTAATAGTACTAACAGACTGATAACTTACTTCACAAAAATAGGCCTACTTTTGTGAAGGTTGTATAATAAATAAAAGTGAAGCTCTTGAGGACAACAAAGCAAATATATAATACAAATAAAAAGAGATACGATATGTGCCAAAACTAAAAATATCAACGAGAAAGAAGAAAAAAAATAAAATATAAAGCTGATTAAAATAATAAATAATATAAGAATTATAAATGACTGTGAATTTGAAAATGCTCACAAAAAAGTTTGTGTAGAGCAAGACTGAAGTGTCAATTATCAAGGATTGATAAAAAAGTAGGGTGAATTAGATATGACAACAGGCTAAAGGGTTCAAATTGTGAAGCTATACTTTTTACGGAGATAGTTTAGGAGAATAGTGAAGCTTAAAATAGCAATAATTAACAAATAGAAATAGAAAAACAGTCTTATGTTGTCGAAAAAATTACCTAACATTTTTAAACGTTTTAGCTTTACCAACATTTTACGCTCACAATGATAAAACAGCAAAATATGATGTCATGTTTTGATTGCGTCTTAAGCGAACTACGTTGAGGACATCAGACATTCTCTCTCTTATTTATTCACCAAGATAATTAATCAACGATGTCGCTGAAGAAAAGTTCAAGAAAATATTTAGGAAATGTCAGGAATACCGAGGTACAGAAATTTCTAAAAAATAAACTATATACATTCTTTTTGAAAAAAAATGTGTATATCCCTGTTTCAGCAACAAAAGGTCGTTTTGTTCCCTATTTAAACCAAAATATCTAGGCCTAAGGGCTCAAGCCAATAGGTACTTTGGTAACGAGAAACGTATATTGAGGCAAAAGTTTAACCCCAGTGTTAAAATGCTTGCAAGCATGATTGACTACGCATGCGGCCTTTATCACTACAGCTATCTAGGTTGTGCTTTAGAAACAGGCCGACAAATGAAGGGCAGATTACCAAGGTACTTAACTTGATATAAAACAAGGGACAAAAACGGTGGGTTTAGCCTCAGCAAAGATATCAATATCCTTCAATTTCACAACAGTGATTGATTTCTAAATACGACTTATCGTGGTCAAGACAAAAATAAATTACTTTTTTTGCTTTCATTGCGGTGTCTATTTTTACGTGACCTCTTCAAATAAGGGTTGTTTATGAGTGCAGATTTTACCTCTCTTGCATCGCTTAAAATGAATTGTGCTAGCGAAAACAAAGCTTGAATTATTCCTTGTTTGTCATACTCTTTATCATAGGATAAAAAGGAACAAGTAACTGAGAGTGCCGGGAACAAGTGAGACATGTTTCGAGCTTTAAAGAAGCCTAGAGATGTCTGAAACAGCAACAAAAGCTGAAGAAAACAGGGACATTTTCAAGCAGCCTGAGACCGAATTGGGCTGATGACAGCAACTGGTACCAGGATAACTCAACTATCAGTAGAGGCAATTTCAGACCTTTGTCAGTCTACCCTATTCCTGCACAATCAACTCTATTCAAGCAGAATCAATCCCATCCCTGCATAATCTATCCTTTTCCTGTGCAATCGGCTCTTTTCCTGCCCAGTCTACCCTTTCTTTCCACGATCTAGCCTATTCCTGCACAATCTACCCTAGTCCTGCACAATCTACCCTAGTCCTGCACAATCTACCCTCTTCCTGTACAACCGACCCTGTTCATGCCCAGTCTACCCTATTTCTGCCCAATCGACCCTATTATTACACAGACTTCCCTATTCATGCCCAGTCTACACTTTTCTTTGATAGTCTACCCAACCAATTTGGCATACTTTACTTAAAGTGAGTGGACATTACCTCAGTGCCCAATTCAAAATGATTGGATAAGCAAGCTCTGTGTAGCAACAGACATGATAATTAGGGAATGTAGTCGCAGGTAGCAGCATTCATGGTTTATAGTAATGCAACCTTTAAAACTCCTGACCTTTAAATACCCCTGGATCAAGCGCAGTTATGTCGCAGTGACAGGTCAGTCTGCTACGGATTTAGCACAAGAATATGCTATGAATCTTTTTTAATAAGCAGACCCAGTTGAGATATACAGCTACTCAAATGATGTCCCCTGAATATACCTTATACATGCCAATATGGCTACAGGCAATGAAAATCCCCTTGAAAAACCCTCAGATTAAATGAGTGGCTTCTAGGGTGAGCAAAAAGGAGAGGGGACTGATTTATGATAACAAACCTCGAGACTTCCATTTGATGAGAGACTTCTGCTTGAACTATTGCCCTTGGTCATTCCATTCAGGTCCGGTAAGGAGTCAGATTTCAGTGATTCCGATTTGACCGAATCTGTTCCGGATGACGGGGTGGCGGCTCCAGCCACACTCTTCGCCTCTTTGAACTTCTCTGAAAACTAAGCAAAATTGTGTATAAGGTTAGAGAATGGCAAGCAAATAGAACATAAACCGATAATTGATACAGTCAGCATCATACGATGGCTTTTAGAAATTTTAAGCCAAGAATAAGATAACAATGAAACTATTAGAGAAACTGCACAGAATAATACTATTGCTCTTTGTTGAAATAGTGACAATATGTGATTCAGATGTTAATACAGTACGCTTTAAAAGCCGTTTGGCTGTACTGTAGACAAGACAGAACAAGGGAGGTGATGTGCAAATCGATTGAGCGGCACCGCCAACGCAGTGAGGGAACTCGAAGGCAGGTACGGCCTTTGTTTGACGTAATTTCGCGGCATGTTTAAGACTGGTTTGAGTAAAACGGCTTAATGAGCCACTCGAGTTCAAGGAGCCTTGGGTAATAGGATCCTTTTAGTTAGAATCAAATTTCTTTTATAAATAGGACTTTCATGATCGCTAAATCTGTAGAATTAAGAAAAACATTTTATGTAGACAAAAGATAAAGTATAGACAAACCACAAGTGCCAGAAAAAACGTAAGGATTATGGGCCCAAAAAAATTTGACAGTATAAAATTTGACAGCAAATGTCAAACTGCCATTTTGAAACGCAACGTAGCGCTTTTCAAAGCAAAAACATGCTATAATATCCACGACAGCTTTTTGAAAACATGGCCTAAATTCCTTTCTAGGCATGACAAGTGACAGGCTTTGGGTAACGGTGAGGAAATACTGTAACATACTGTCAAAATAGTTCATATTTAATGCGTCATTGCCATTTTGCACTTGGCATGCGTAGATAGGCCATTAAAGAAAAGTTTATCGTATCCACTCAGTAAGTTTCAATCAAGCATTGTATTCAATTTTTATCACCATAATCGCGAAGACAACCTTCTTTATTTTTTTCTTAACATAAACAATTGATAGCAAGCAAAATATATACACATCTATAAAAGATTGTTGATACCGCTATGTAGCAAAGAAAAAGGAAACGTCTCTGGCCATTAAAATATAATAAAACTAGAAATCTGAACTCAATTGTACATAGAGGTCGAGTCGAAATAAAGAACCGATAAATTTTTCTAAAAATTTTCTACAAATAATGAGTTTTGACAGAATAAAACTAGCAAAAAGTAAAAGTTGTCATGGTGATTTGGACGATATCAGAGATACCAAAACGAGACAACATTTGTGCTAAAGTGAGATTCATCGGAGCTTGCAGTAGATGACAAATACCATTGGAGATTCCCTCAGTGTCTTATTGTCAATAGAAGCTTAGGAGCAACAAAAATATTTCGCAAAAGAAAACATTTTCTCGTTTCTACAAGAAACTGGTTGGGTATTAAAGGAAAATGAAAAAATACTGATTGCAGCACTGCAGGAATGGAGTATCTTGGGTGAAGGCAACCCTGAAAGCCCCAAATCTCTAAAATCCTTCAAAAACACAATTAGATTTTGTAGTAATGGCTTGTAAGCAGCAGTTAGCTAGTTACATACGCTTTGCTGAATCACCTATGATGTGAACTTGCTCGATATCAACAATCTAGCGCCGAAAATGTTTTCTAGATAATATTGACTGTCAATGACCGTTTATGCGCAGTATATTTAGCACCGAGGTTACAAATGGTGGTGACCAAAAGCATGTCAAGTCATCTAGAGAACGAGAATAAGATGGCTGGTGGTGAAGGGCATTTTGATGGAAAAGACAAGAGTGTAGGAAGTTGGCAGCTATTAAGAACAAAGAATGGAGAAGATGATGACCGGGTAGGTCGGACGATAGTCATGCGGAAAAACTGTGCTTGTGGAGAAGATGATGATGCGGATGACGACGTTGAAGGAGAAAATCAATATTTAGAAGGTTGAAAGGATGATGGATATCAGGCAAACAGTTGGAAAGGACCTTAGAAAAACAAAGGCGCGAAGAGTATGCCAAAATGATGAAAGTGACGAACATGGGCACAAAAAAGGTGATGAAGTTTGGCGATTACGAAGACGGCAATCAAGAAAATGATGGTGAAGAAGTTAACAATGAAGACATCAATGACGGTGAAGAAGAAGGTGGAGAAGCTAAATGAAGAGGTGAAGGAACTGGAGATGATGGCATTGGAAACGATGGCAACAGGGGCGATGATGATCTTCGATCAGAGAAGAAAGTACCCAGAAGAAGATGACTAACATGACAGCAATTAAGAAAGTGATGATGATGCAGATTAGAAGACAAAATGAAAAGCGCAGGAGTAGCAGACAGTGAAGGTGATGGCAACAGAAGCAATAATCGTATTTAGAAAGACAGCATAAGACTGACGATCAGAAAAATAGCAGTCAAGACGATTGTGGTGAAAGAGAAAATTAAAAAAGTATCATGAAGGAGATGGCGACAGAGAGAAAAAACGAAGAGACGATTGCCCGGTAGAAATGGAAAGTGAAAAAATAATAATTGAAGAACAAGAGGATGATGACAATCGAGATGAGAACGCTTTTGAGCAAGATGGCGGTTGAAAAGACACCGATAAAAAGGTGAAGACAACATCGATTTAGAGGAAAGGATTGAGAGCAGAACAATGAAAGATGAAAATGAATACCACAAACATAGAGAAAAAGGGCAATGATTAATGAAAGGTAGACTTCAAAAGTTAAACAGTGCAGAGAATAATAAAACAAATTATGACAATATCCGATAATGAAGCTTACTATTACAGGCAAAGACTATCATGAAGCGGATGCGATTGAGGAGGACAGCAAAATTATCATATAATAATATTAATATGTGGAGTATTTAAACAGGATATACATGTTAACAACATATGATGCTATTAACTGACCTGAAAACACTATAGATAACAGCAGAGTGTTCAAAATTCACATTAAATTATTTTACATTATCTAGTTATACACTCCTATTCCTATCTTATTCAAGTGGAGGGAACTTAGCGTACACCAAAGTTACAAGCTTGCCTTGTGTAGCAAACTTACTTCTTTCAGAATTCCCCGTATATCATTTGCGAAAGCAGAAACTCCCCAGGTGGATTCTAACTATGTTCGTGCAAAGCAATAACTCAAGAAATCAAGACAAACAACAAATGAAACAAAAATATTTATGAAATCTTAAGACTTATATCTGATTTTAATAACTGACCTTATCACAATAACGCTATCAGCTTTTCAAACGAAACTATGAGACCTCGAAGATAGGAAAAGTCAAATGTACTATATATCTCGAGGAACTCGGCTGCATGATCTTATTTGTAATGATGATACTAAACATTGATCTAAAAATTAGACAAGACTGAAGAGAAATAGTAGATGAAACACTGAACCAACAAGAAAGGACAACATAAAGATTTAAATGTAATTATAGCTTTATAAGTAATTTTCCCTTGCGTTTTTACTCGCTCCTCTTTTATTAATACCCTTTTTGTTTGATAGTTCTTATATCCATTTTGTATGGTCTTATAACGATCTTATGACTTTTTGTGATTTCACGATTTTATTTATTCTACTTTACAGGACATACATTATGACAGATTTTTGTCCTTCAAACAACCAGATATACGCAGAAATAACATGCATGGTTTTAAGCCTCATATCGTTAAACAACGATATACTGCATAATACGGTGTGGAACGAGCATAGCTAGATCATCTTAAATAGGCTCTTTGCAGCTAGGCGTCACGTGCTTGGTTACCGCATAGAAATGCCAAACTGGAGAGCATGAGATCCAGCGGCCTATACGTAAACAATACAATCGCAGTTTAATCGCAGTTTTTGAAGATATACCAGCATAATTTACCCTTTTTAAAATATAATATAGTCTTTTTAAGCTTTTACTGCTTTTTTGGCGTTTTCCCGTTGGATTTTTTCGTCACCGAGTAATAGGTAAATCACCACAAGCTTCGATAGAAGGTTATGGAAAAAAATGGTAGGCCGATATTTATGTATTTTATTTTCTTCCGTTTCTCTAGTTTCGATTTAATGTATTGGTTAATTTATTAAACAATTTTTTTATTTACGCCAATAATTGTTTTTTTCCAGAACGTACGCACTGTAGTGTAATTTGACCTTTAAGACTAAGGGGTGCGGGGTCATCACGATAGAATTTACCGATGAAAACAATGACAATTGGAAAGAGCTTATTGGCACTGGAAGATGATTCGACATGGAATTAAAATCTTTCATTATTGATTCTACAATGTTTCTACAAAATCCGCAAATACACGATTCTAAACGCTCTAATCATGACATTCCGAAAATCACACAATGAACACCAGGGCTAAAGCACGCCAGAGATTTCACAGTATTTGAAAATAATACTTTCATTATATTTTGTGATATGAACAAAAAACCGGAAAATTACAGGCAATTTTTCCGCGCGACGGACAGAAATATAAAAGTTATTAAATTGCAAAAACTAATTACATAGCTACCTTGGAAAAGGAAATAACTAAAATAATTACTTTGCGATAATTTGCTCGTTGAAGCCGAAATTGCCTGCAACAACTTCCGCAAATTAAGAACAGGAGAAGGTCACTCACGCAAACGTTTTAGTGGCTGCTTTAAAAAGTACAAACAACCTGGTACGAGGTTAACATTCCTAGTCAAGCAGCGTTAACCTTAAAATGAGGCATTTCAAAGATGAACCAAAAAAATGTAGGCCACACTAAAAAAGGGGCACCGATTGTCAGATTGAAATTCACAAAGGAACAATAAACAACGGGAATTTAGAAAAAAACCAAATGCTTTGTGACATACAGAATTTAAGAGAACAGCAAAAAAACTTTTATCTTGGAAATATCTTAAGAAGCAGCTATCTCTTAGGATGAAGTGTTTCTAGTTCAATATTTATGATTTAATAATTGTTACCTTTCAGAGTATTTATTGAAAATGAAGTTCATATACGTTCAATACTGTGACTTTACGCCGCCGAAAAGCGCTTAAAATATCAAATCTATTAAAGTTTTGATAATGAAGGAACCAGCACTATGACATGTACAAAAGGAGGTTTATTGAATCTTATCAGATTTCTACATACGAAATCATCCCTGGTCCAGATAGGGAAGCCGCAAGTAACAAGGTCCTGAAAATCAAACTTATAAGTCCTGTGATCGACATATGTATCTTAGCAACGCACCACAGCTATTACCCATCTTAAAAATAATTTGATCAGTGAAGAGCCGGTGTAAAAGAGATGTTATCTAGCAAACGAAGAATAACAAAGCTTCGATTGTTACTCTAGATGTAAGATATGAGGCCTCATTCCATGAAAATTGGTCATAATTCTGGTCATTATTGCTAATACTGAACAAGGGTGGTCCTCGTGTTCATAGGAAATGGCTCAGAAAATGCACGGATATTAAGCTTTGTGCTAAAGTGAAGTCGTTTTAAAATTGCTTTCCAATATGAAAACATCAACATAAGCCAGTGACACTACAAAAAGATTGTTTCAAGAAAAATAGATCTAAAAACAAACTTCCTATTATCTAGGCCCTATGATATTCAGATGAACTGCAGAGAAAAAAGCACACAACGGCACTTAACAATATGGATATAACTGGAATTTTATGTGATTTCTGAGTACATTCTTCTTTCTTTTAAACTTCTCTGGGGTGAAACGTTAATGTAATTTTTAATTGCGATTTTAAGCTTAGAGATCCAACACTTATCATTAAACAATACACTGACGACACATTGGAACAAAATGACGCACAATAGGCGAAAATCATGCAAAATTTAGATAACTTCTTAGAATTTTCGTGACGCTTTTGACATCTATTTTGAAAAGATTTTAGTCGCAAATTTCTGACTTACATTCTTACAATAAAAACAACAATTAATGATAAAAGTTACTTAATGTGTGATAACAAATATTTAAGCTACTTTTTGTTACATATCTTGATGTTAAAAATTAGAGCCTATGATGCAGCATCTGTTGAGAATTATATAGAAAAAACCCTAATGGATAAGATTGGCTTTTTGAGTCAAGTAAATTGAGAGGTATCCTAGAAATCCTGTTTCATTCTTGTCAGTAACTTCTTTTTTTTCTAATACAGGGAAGAAACATTTTAGATGCTTGTGGGTTTATTTATTAATCAACAACTATCACAACTGACTTTTGTTTAGTTTTGTTGCAAAATTAAAACCAAATTCATTAACCGCGCCCAAAAGCACTTTTCTTGTATCTATCAATACAAGTCCTCCTCAAATTAAACACACAAAGCTTACACAGCCCAATCAATTTAAACTATTGTCTAGGAGTAAAGGGTACTAATGAACTAGACCTAAAAAAATTGAATGAAAACCTGGCAATTTAAAGGAACAGAAAACATGGCTCAGGACTTTAAAAAAAGTTATTTGATACAAGTCGAACTGTAATAAGGTACTGGGATGTATCAACATAAGAATTAGAAAGAAGGTCATTAACAGAGAAAACATTGATTAGTCTCATAACTCAAGTTGCCCATACTTATCAAGTGAAAAGAAATACTACACTGGCTTTATCTTAAACAAAGGTTTGCTTATAACATTGTATAGTTATATATAAACAAATCTTGGTTGCAACAGCACTAAGGGTGACAGGCAAATAAGGCAGAATACCCCATGTTAACCCAAAACTATACAATTTACTTCTTCTTACTATAATGTAAACCACAGTATATTACCTAGTGCATCAATCATAAACAGTTAGAATTAAAATATTACCTTGTTGAGGTCATTCTCAGAGTTGAATCCAAGCCCATAAACATTATTCGCTTTTGGATCAGCCCACTGTCCAAATTTTTGCGATGTCTTTGTAAAAATCATATTTGACATTATAACACTGTTGATTAAGGCCTGTAAAATAAAACATTAATTCAGTGACAAATAGCTTAGGGTTTAAATAGCAAAAATGAAGAACTTGAAGATGCCTTCCTGGGAATTCTCAGAAACTATGCCCTAATTTTATTACCTGAAGCGATGCCCTAATTTTATCACCTTCACTTCTTTTAAAAGAAAGTAAAGCCATACAATGTTTTTTTTCTATTTCAGTTGGAGCCTAATGGCATAAAACGACAATGAGAAGAATCTCTTCTGGTTTTGAAAATCATGTTCTTTCATTTTGAATCTGTTTATATTAGAAATAGAATGAGATGTTGCTGTCAGAAAATATCCTTATAGTGAAAATTGAATGTCAAGCTAATAACTGAAATCAACTATATAAAAGTAGTTGTTTGAAATTAAAAGTTGCTCAAACACCTGGATATTTGGCCATGAACTAGCCTAAACTTGCCCAAGATTCTCCTGATACAGTACCTTATTACTTTCGAGTCTTTACATTCCTATGTTTTTCATAATCAGCTTTTAAAGAATTTTTGCTGCATATTTCATGGACAATGATAATGAATGATGTTACCAAAATCATCAATCGATTCCTAGTTGGGATAATCTATTCCTAGAATTTTACAAATATATATGACATAACCCGAAAGACTGTCATAAAATACCCAAAAATTGGGTGATAAATGGCCTTTGAATTATTGCTATCAAATCAATTAAATTTGCTCTTGGTTCTAAAATCTGGAAATGGGGCAAAATAACAACAATCCAAGAGCAAAACTTGGTTCTTTCACTTACTGCATTTCAGTCAATTTGCAATCAGACTTTTTAACTTAAGGAGGTATTTGATGGTTCTTTTACATTATGTGATAAAAAGTCAAATTTTTTCTTAAAAATATACTTTTGATGATGTCACACTTTGATATCATTTTTGAATCATTTGATGATGTCACACTTTGATATCATTTTTGAATCATTTGATGATGTCACACTTTGACATCATTGTATCAATTTTGAAGATATATTCCCAGGGTGTAAAATCTCTGTGTAAAATGGACCAAACAAGAACTAAATATGAATTTATATAATATGATCTAGCAATGGCTCACATAGAAATTGTGGTAATGAAACAAAAATATGATTTAATGTTTTGTACAATTAGTGATAATGTCATCTTAAATTAATGATCAGTAATATATTCTGCTTGTTAGCTGTTTACCGGTGTTACAAAAAATCATATAAATAAATAATAAACCAGCCATGTAAACAAATGGATATGAATTTAAAGTATAACAAATCGACAGATATACAGATATTACCAAAAAGGCCACAAATCAGTAACAGATTGTGAGCCTAAACATAATGTGATTTATAGAAATCCATATGATGGTCTTAACAGGTGTAACAAACACCATGAAGAATATGTTTGTGAGAAAGATGGCAAGCAAGCACAACTGATAAAAGTAAACAAAGGTTGTGAGCATCCCATGGCTTGAACTGATTTGGGTCGCTCTAACTATTTGTTAATAAACAGATGTGAAGATCCAATACATAAGTGATGATATTATTCATATTGTCTTTAAGGACAAGACTGTAGCAGCCTTGTGTTCTTGTCAAGATGCCACTCAACAGAACTATTAAAAAATTCACAAACATGCAGTTCACAAATTCAAAGATCTAAAAAATGCATTCTTCTTAAAAGTTGATATAGAAAGCCCTTTTACTGGATTAACCACACTGAATAGAATAACATATAATCACAAAGAAATCACAGGGATTTTCTTTATTTTTTTTAACCTTTTGGTTTTTTCTTTGGCTTCTCCAAGAAAACAAGACAATAGAGAGAATATTGGTAGACAATGCAAGTCCTTGTGTATTGTGCTCTCCCCATGATGTTTTAATCCCCATTTGTAAGATCTGTTGAATATCTTAATTCCATAGCTCTAGACAAAATTCTTTTTCAGCAAACACTTCATACACATATTTCAGCAGAACAATGAAAGCAGCATGAAGTTTTCAAAGAAAAAATTCAAAGCTGATGTTTAGAATAAGAGATCTTTTATTACTACCCTAATCAAAATATCTTTTTCAAATAAACTAAAATGTAATAAATGCATATATTAAAAAATTTTTTAGTTATAAACAGAAAAAGCATGATGGAATCTTCAAATAAACACTACCTTAAAAGAACGGCTTAGCATTTAGAAATCATATATGGCTACAGGAAATTGATAATAGAATCATTTTCATTATCAATTTTTTTTTTCTCCAACAAAAGAACAGGTAGCAAAGAGGCACTTGCATTAATATTAACAATTCATTACTCATCTTATGCAGCTAACAAGTTCATCACACAGAATTGATGCTTTTCATAACAACACCTGCTACATTATGGGCAGCTCAAAATGCAATATATTTGAACAGCAAAATATGATTCACCAATTAAATTTGAAAAAACATGGTTTTCTATACTAGTGATTTATATGAAAATAATTTAACACTGTGATGATGAAACCTACAAATTGTTAAATCAACCTACTATAGGAAAATACATAAATGATCACCCTAAAAATAAACATTATGGTCATTTCTGGCATTATTCACAATAGTAATATCATATATTGATAAATTATATTAAAAAATATACCAGAAAACTGCAAAAAATTATCTTGCATTTTGCAAAAGCAGATCACAAAGCTCATTACACAATGACTTAACGACGAAAAAAGTAAATAAACTAGTTTTACAAGACTGTCATTTGCTTTCAGCTAGGCATCATCTCAAAAAAATCGAACAAGAGGGAATCCTGGAACATATTTCAGTAACAAAATTGATTTGAAAGATAACAAATTTGCTCATTGCTTTTGCATATAAAATATACCCTATATATTCTAATATATATGGTAGTATAGTGCGGTACCTACACGGCTTTCAAAACTCAGAAAATGCAAACCTTTAATGCCGTTCAGCAGGTTGTTCCGAATATTCCTTGCAGTAAATCCACATTTTTAACATCAATTTCAACCATCATTAGTATAATTTTATTGGGAAATTACAACATCTTTGATCATCTTGTTTTGTTTTGATTGCAACTGGGGTCTTGAATTGTTGCTGTGGGCCTATCCTTTTAAAGGGCCTAGACATGGAAGCGCACTGTTGGAGGCCATTAACTCGATACAACTTTGGCTTACCTTTGATCCATCTACTGAAATGATTCTGAATAAATTTCTCGTTGCGTCGAAGTAAAATGAAACTATTACTGCTTGCTTTGATACAGGAAGCCATCTCTTTTTGGTTTCTGGGTCTATCTGGAAAACGTGAGCACGGGTAGAGTAGGTCGGTTGTTCTCTGACGAAAAAAAACAAATGTTCGGTTTGAGTCCATTTCAAATTTTCCCAGATCATCAATATGTAGCAAGCTATAATTCTGGAAGAAAGAAAGTATAAGGATAGTCTTATGAATATACATACCCCATTATGCGGATTATGTTCTCCTGAGAGCGAGTTGTGTGTAGATGAGCAGTGCGTAACTACGAGTCACCTGCGGAATCAATGATTCAAAACTGTTTCGATGGGGGCAAGTTGTTGCTTGTCATCTGCTTCGGGGAGGAGGTCTTTGAGGGTAGGGCAAGGCGGAGTTGTATGGCTGCATTCTGCAGATTTCAAACAGTATCTGTCATCTGATTCTCAGCCTTATTGCAATTTTGTAGTCTTTTTGCAATTTTGTTAACATTTCAAACAATTTTGTAAACATCAATCTATTAAAATATATTTCCTAGTCAAAGAATTCCCTGATGATTCAATGGGGCTTGCAGAGAACGACTTTTTGTTTCTTCCATCTATCCCTCCATTTTATTATCCTAAGAAACATTTGTTTTTTTTAAGTTCCTATTTTGGCGACTTTTCGTCTATTTCTAGTCTCTTGCTGCTGCTTCAGTCTACTGGAAGCAGATGGAGATAGAAAAGGATTCGAAAAAAGGCGGCCTCTTTAAATCCAGATAATAACACATGATCGAACTTTAATGGACTGATTCACAGGGTATCAATTCAAAAAATTCCAATTCATAGCTAACGTGTTACAAACATTGAAACAAAGAGACAAATTGTTATTTTTGTTTAAGGGTGTTAAATATCTCTATACACGGGGAATATATAGACCCTTTTGAATATTCAGTTACCCTGGAAAGTATGTTCACAGAAGATTTTTGTACAATGAAGAACTTTTATAGTTAATAAACTTGCAAACGATATTTTGGTGATACAAAAGTCAGAAATAGCTTTGAAATCTATGTTCTGACGTTTAAAACTCTGAAGATTGTGAGATGAAGAGCTTCAGTAAGTTTCAACATGCTTGCTTGTTTCAAAACCAATAACAAGCTGAGTTTTAAACTTACGTTCCTCCTACGAAATCTTCAATTGCTTGCTCGAATAAATATACAAAGAAAGTTTGATAACTGTATGCATTTTCACAGCGAAGAGTGCCTCAGTTTTCCAATTTAGAAGGCAGTTATCTCGAGACATACAATAATGGTGATTTTGTTGATTTCAAGAGGAATTGCACAGAAAATTCACAGAAAAATCTGCAGAAAATTATTTTCTGCTTTTCCAGCACTAAAGAAGCAGAAAAAACACAAACGAAAGTAGCCCTAAAGAGTCGTCTTTAAAACTCTAAAGATTTTTCTAATCAAGAAGAAAATTTAATTCTTATTAAGACGGTTTCTAGCTGAGCTTTTATTGCGTATTTCATTCAATTTCTGTGCCACCCGATCGGGAACGGATTGATTCTTCATCTAAATTTAGAGCCCATGTATGCCATTAATGAATAAACCAACACCTCCACCGCAACCCTTACACGCTCATAAATCAGTATGATTATCATTCAAATTGTTCAATTATCATTTAAAGGGATAGTCTATGTTTCCTTTTAAACGGTCCTTATTCCGGTCGTTCGACAATTTTCATTGCATCTTTTATATTTTAATTATACCCAAATGGAAAATAAGCAGAGAATCACCAGTGGAACGAGCAATGCAAAATATATAATGATAATTACCCTGAGAGCAGCTGTCGAACCTTAATTTTCTTCTGACTATGGTAAAACAGTAACAAGAAATTGTATTGTGTAAGAAGGAAGAACCATAGGATTGGCTGTCCGCCGGATTCTGTGAAACTTGCAATGAGTGCTGTTACGAAAGATATACAGGAACAAAGCAATACGACGACGAGAATCCAATGTCACGAGAAAAATTTTCAAAATAAATTAAATTTATGCAGTTTATTTGGCTTCGAAGTAAATCTGATTAACGAAACTTGTATGTAACTACCGCTAGAATTTTCCAAAAACGTTTTCTCAAACATCAAACGAAATATCATTTAAACGCATGTCTTCCGGAAAGGAAATCGACGGATATTTTTAGGGAGAAGAGGGGGGGGGTTGAAGGGTACCAGATATCTTAGTGACAGAATTCCTTTGGGTAGTTTACTGCAATGCTGTATCAGTTCTTCTTGACTGGGAACCTTCTTTGTTCATTCTCTAGGTGTTTTATGTTGTTTAATGACATGATGTATTTTCTAACATGGTTAGCTTCGTGTTTTATTACCCTTAAGCCAATTTTATCTATTTCCATTGAAATCTTCTCTGAACCAGACTGTTTATAAAAATTAAGAAGAAATAAACAAATAATCTCTAAAGGGAGCGTTCTCAAGCGTTCTAGAGGGCGTGCCCTCAAAATATTTTCGGGCACACCTATTTCAGCCCCTCCACTTTTAGACTAGCGTGCGATCCCTGCTTGTCATAAACAGTGTAAGGTTTGTGATGTTAAGATCTCTTTGAGGGGAAGATGTTCCTAGCCCTTGCCCCAGTTATTGGTGATAACAAAGATAATTGACATGGTTAGATTAAAGGGCATACCTAGGCCTCTGTTATCTCTTGTATATAGAAAGATTTGATCACAAAATCTGTTCATTCTTTCACGGATACATACAAGTAATATTTTACATTGAGTCATTGCATAGAAAGGAAGTAAAAGAATTCTAGAGAGCTGCTCAAAGATAACCCCAATTTCCTGAATAGAGATTGAATTCACATATTTCAACGCCATGGCTTTGGAATTCTCTTCTTCGGTTGAAGCCCAGTTAATCGAAATATATTTGATTAATCGTCAAAAATTTGTGACATCTCTCGCAGATTTCGCCACGCTTGCCACCAACTTTCTCCATGAAATCAAAGGCTCCTTCTGAAGTATGACAACTCGTTGAGATGACTGTGGTAGCATAGTGAACCTCAAAATGTGAACTCAAAAGGTCGTGTGTATAAATTTTGTAAGCTCCTCCACATAACTCTATTTCAAGTAGGTCGACTTTAATCAGTCCCTATCTTAATTCGTGTTTCTACAAATGACAGTTTCATTGGATCAGCTGATATCACAAAGTAGCTATGAACGATAAAGTCTGATGGATTAATTTCCAGAAATCCCAAATCAGTGTAGGTTTTTCATGCATTCTTAAAAAGATTTGCCTGTGGTTTAACGAAAAGCACGTGAGATAGCCGGACGACTTAAACTAAATCAAGATAGAAATAGATGGATCTCTAAAATAAAACCTTTACAATCCGAAGCACATGACATGAAATGCTTCATAAACCAAACACTGTAATGCAAATCGAATATATTAAAACGATAATGCAAAATAATATAAGCAAAAGTAATTAAATGAATAAATGGGTTTAACATATTAATTTTGTCTTCGTATAAAATGACGAAAGACTTTTAATGCCAAATACAACTGTTTAGGAGAGAATTAAGAAGATATTGCTGATGTCGCGGGTCGGGCGAAGTCTGGCACGGGTGCCAAAGTGGAGAAGATCGTCACCCCGGCCTCTCTGATGTGAAAATCAAAAATAATTGTGGGTCCATCTAGCGTGTTTGCAGGAAAGCTACGTAAGTTGTAGCTGACACCAAGGTCATAAACTCACTCAAGCAAATTACAAAATCTGAGAAAAATTTTGACATTCAAGCGACATGCCGTAGCACTTTCGGTTGTAGCAGAAAAATGTTTATCCTTTCACCGGACATCACCCCAATGCTCTGGAGCTTTCCTCAGAAAAACAGTCAAGTTGACACGACATAGGGTTGATGATAATGATCAGGGACGCCTGCACAAGATAAGGGCAGGAGGCAGTGGCGGCGCAAAGGGGTGGTATGGGGGGGGGGTAATTACCTCCCCACTTTTCTGAAAATATAGTCTATATATTTCTTCTAAAAATGGATTAAAAAGCGCTGGGTAGGGGTAGATCGAATTTCCCAAGGAAAGGAACGAATCACTGGAATGAGGCAAAAGGGGCGTGGTCGCGCTGGCCACGCCCATTACCCTCCAACTCTGTAATAGCTGACGCCGGCACTGGGAGGAGGGGCAGTGTTGGTGCCGCAGCTGCCCCTCCAGCCCCCCCCCCTGTGTAGGCGACCCTGATGATGATGATGACGATGATGATGATGATGAGATGATGGTAAAACGGGGTTTGGGTGTGGCACTTCAATTTTCTTTAGTTTTCTTGCCCTTCTCCCAGTCGCAACGCCATATCCTGCTAGCTTTAGACCAGCTATATCCCTTATTAAGTCCTGAGAGCGACCCTTGAGGGATCCTTAAACTATTGACCTCATTTTCTTGCTCTAACACTAAAGGTTTCATCGAATGTACAGCCGATTATACTGACATCACATACAGAAACAACAAAATTCCTAATCATTCCTAATAAAGGATACCCTAGGATCTTCCACAACTGAACTGTTTTAAAGGATATAAAAAGATTCTCTTCAACTAGTTATCCTGGAATAGTGATTTCCAATTACCTCAAACAGAGAACGATCAATGAATTATTGGAAAACTTTCTTCGGTATACGTTGCAGGCCAAATAAACATCAATATTTTAAAGAATTCTAATAAACGACGGGTTGCAAGTAAATAAAAACGTTAATAGGATTTGATTTCTGTTGTAAAATATAGGAGTGCGCCGCTCTTGATGGTTCAGTATCTATGACATTAATCAAGTATGTAAGATATCTGCGATTTTGTGTCTGAAATGCAATTCGTTGTTACGGGTTAAGATTATGGCAACATATTCATTATTGGATAAGGAAAAACTCTACTCAAATGCATTTCAAGAGTGGAGAGTTGGGAATTTCAAATGAAGCTTTAGTCAAATTCATTTTGTATGGTGATGAGCGACTAACCATTGACTCGAATAAGAAGCTACTTCAGGCAACGCTCAAATTCATTCATGCTTCAGAACGCTTTTAAATATTCCATTGCTGCACACTTCTATACATTAGCATCTACTTTTTGTCTGTTTACTCTGTATTCGTGATTAGTCTTCCTAGTTTTAGTTATATTTCTTTCTATCTTTGTTTAATGTCGTGCGTTTTTATGCATCGGTCATAGGGTAGTCATTGTCTTTCGCTCTTCATGGTATCGTTAGTACAGTAATTAGGGCAGTATAGTCAATGTAAAATTGTATTGTTATTAATTTCTATGAATAAAAAAAAAAATGACCCCGAGAATGACAAATAGAGATGGTACAGCAAATCCACTGGTAAAATTTCACGGGCAAATTTGAACAAATCTACATTAAAATATGAAAAACTAGTAGGATAAAAACGTTTTTGAAATTTTAATGGGAACTAAAAAACGAAAGAAGGGTGAACGAAGTTGTTCTAAGGGATAGCAATAGTGGCAGATGAACTTACCCAAAATAAAACAAAGAGAGATGAACAATTTGCTGAAGCTAGTCCAACAAATAGCTAATAAACATAAGATCAACGGATTAACAAATGAAAGGAAATTGCAAGGACAGAATAAGCACTACCAAAAAATATGGTAAAGTCAAAAAAGATTGTAGTGCGCAGATGTAAGTAATTTTTGGTGAAATTAGGAAGGGTACCAGAACATATGCTAACTAACTATTAAATGGAAGGGACAAAATTAATGTTTTCTTTACATAAAATCAGATACTATAAAGAAATACAAGATGGCGGTTTGACGTTCTTTGTCTACCTTTTTAAGAAGTAGCACGCTCTAGTTTGATTTGACAGGTAACGAATGACATACATGTAGTTTGTTACCAGAAAATAGTTTATAGGAATTTTTCCCACTGTTCAGCCAAAGTAGGCAGAACAAAGCAACAACATTACGAAAAAACAGGCCGTCGTAAAATATTCCAGCTTTAAAAAGCAACTCCTTAGCAATCGCGGGAAGCAAGCAGCTTCAATTATCAACCAGTTTTCATAACTGTTAATTGTTCTTAATGGTTTGTGACCATACTAGATCATGAACCATTAAAATTTACCCTTATGTAAGGAACACCCGCAATGCTTTAAACAAGCAAGTTACTAAAGAGTCAATACAAACTTTGCTTAGAAGCCTAAGTATTTCAAAACTACTGATAAACCTGTTTGAGACGACAGTACTTGTCTGCAATAACACCAGTGTACATGAATTTGCAACTTGACCTGTCTTTGACTGAATTTATTTCCGCAATGTGCTCTTTTAGAATGCACCTTACGCGATCTGCATCCCTAACAATAACCCTCGGATGCTAATCTTCCGATAAAATTGACAAAACTTAGTCTTATTAGCTAATGAACCTTGTTAACTTTTATGATCTCCGTTTAGACTACTATCCTTCGAACCTGTATTTACATTACCATTGCCATCATCTACGTCATCTGAAGTTGGAGCCCAGTCCTTATCACTATCGCTGTCGTCATCACTATCGTCCATATCCATAAGATCTAAAAGAGTCTGGCTAATAGGTTTCTTTGTCCTTGACTTCTGAGGATTTGCCTTCTTCTTCTTCTTAATGGCATTCTTTCCAGATTTTTGGGGAGATTTCTTCTGGGTTGGTTTCCATTCATTATCTTCGCTGTCTGAATCTGCATCTTCATCGTCTAAATCTCCTACTAAAGCAGCCTGCCATGATAAGCTCTTCTCGATGATATCCGAATCATTTGAATCGTCACTGCTACAAGATGAACTTTTTCCTTCTTTATAATCCTCGTCATCATCGATTTCAGCTTTTACGTCATTCTTAATCTTGTCTCCCTGTGCGTCGTCACATGAATCATCCTTTTCATCATTCCCTTCTTGGTTGCTCTCCATCGAAGAAGAATCGTCATCACTACTTAGCATGCCGTCTAGATCCTCATCATCTTCTTCTTCATATTCATACTCACGTGGTGTTTCCAGCAAGTATCCTGAAACAATCATATGCATTATACACGCCACCATGCTTAACTTTCATCAATACATAATAACAGGTTCCATGAAAACTCTTTGCATCTAAGATAAGGTAGGCAATATACTTTGCTACCCTGGTATTGCATTTTCACCATCAAATTTCTCAGCAAAAATTCATAAGGCAATATTTGGCATGGTCGCTAGGACCCTCACCCCAAGCCTGCAAGATTGCGAGTTCGAGATCTCTTCCCTACTCTCCAGGAAAGTATCACAAACACTGTCTTATCAATCTGCAAGTACTTGTGAGAACTGTATATGGGCAATTAGAGGGTGTTCCCATGCCAGGTACAGTTTATTGCTAGACTTAGCTCGGTCGTTCAATCCAAAACCAGCTCGAGAAAAACAACGTCAAGTATAATGTGACTGTCCAATCTTTCGAATTTAGCAGCGAAAAGTTCGTTTTACCCCATCTGTATCAAAAATTTACTCCTGAGAAATAACCTTACGCATCTATTTACATGTATCTCAGCTTCGCGCTTAATGCGATCATCAGGCGACTGTAGCGTGTACAGCTCTGCCCATACGATATCAAGCACTTTATGAAAGACCGGTAAACAGTAATTTTCATTTCTACTTACACATAGATCTACCCTTCACCATAAGACAACTACATCAAAACTGCCGAGACTTGATGGTTGTACATGAAATATCATAGGGTATCAAATAGGTCTAAGACTAGAAGATAATGCTTAGGGATTAATGCCTAGGTAAGGTCAATATAACGCTAACTGAAAGATGGTCTGAGAATGGAACTTTAAGCAGACCCCTAAAATTGAGATTATAAACAATAGTTGATGTATGATAAGAAAATCTCTGTCTGCTTATGCAGTCTTCTGTCTGAGACGCCAAAAGTTTATAGCATGAGGAATAAACAGCAAAAATAATTCAATTGTCTGTATAATTCCTTTGTTGCCATTATTTTGAAAAGAAGGTGCTAAAATGCCTGAATCTAAAAAAATGAACAAAACTTTAGACTTTTCAAATATGTAACTTCACAGTAAAAACCCTTCGGAAAATAAAATTTTAACATGCTGCATTGAAAGATTTTGTATCCTAAGCAACTAGATTATTGTCTTAATGCTTTGAGAACCGCAAGTTTTTCCTCTTCTGAAAAACAGTATGAGGCTCCTATTCACTTGCAGAAGAGTCTTTTGGAACCTTCAATAAGATCCTCCTTTTCCTTCAACATGATAATTATCTAATATATTGACCATATTAGCATCTTATGGAATCCAAGCAAACCTTAACTTGCTTTCTTTATCAATGAAGAATTAAAAGATAACTTCACATCCTTGCTCCTCACCAAGAAACCATTACTAAGACAAAAAAGTTTAATGGAGCTGTAAAAGATTTCAATATGAATGAAATCAAACGATTCCATGAAACAATTAATACCTGTTAAATGAACATCTCCTCCATCCCCTTCAAGAAAGAATTTTACTTCTTCTCCTTCAGTGAAATTGAGATCAAGTGCTTGCTGTGGGATTTTCCCAGCTTGTAATGTACATAGAGCATATTCTGCCTTGTCACTCTCAACCATTACTGTTGTTGCTTCGGATTTTATATTTGTCAACCCAAGTGCTGCCATCGAGATGTGAAATGGCATCTCCACAATTTGACTATAGACTTTCCCATGTTCCAGGGTTATACCTGTAAATCATAAAGCATCAAAAATTTACCTAAAAACACAAAAAGATTGGCATCCTGGAAAACCAAGCCAAGGGCCCCTATGCCATAAATTTGTTCTTATGTTGAAATTAGTTCGATAAATATCATATGTTGAGATGAATTAATTCAAACAAAAAGGCAGCCTCATTCAAAATTGCCTTTATTTACCCTAAGTCACAAGGTGTTATTTATAAAAATAATAATATAGAAATATAGGAACAAATAAACACAATAATAAAGAGCTTTAATATTATCATTTATCCTCGTAAGAATAAGATTTTTGAGAAATTTTGAACTTGAAATGGGCAGAAATGATGCTTAATCTATTAGATTAAGCATCATTTCTGCCATTTAAAATCAAATCTATGTAGAGTCAAATAGAAGTAGGTTTTCAGTTTGCATTTAAAAGTCTCTAAAGGAACTGCTGCCTGCTGCAGTGTGACTAGTAATCTGTTCCACAGCTGAGTGGTTTGGACATACAAGAATTTTCTTGCAATAAATTCACTCTGTAGCAAGTAGCTGGCAAAAAAATTGGCAACAGAGGTTTACATTTTCAAGGATTGAATCATTATAGTGATGAAACTGCAATGAATCATTTTAACTCATAAGCAAATAGAAGTATTTGTTTATTACTAATATTGATAAAGACACACTCTTGTATTTCTTTTTAATCAATATTCTGCTTGAGAAAATGCTTAGAAACATAGAAACACTTTTCTTACCCCAAAACATTTTCAATAGTGAAACATCCAAATCTGCAAAAAAGATTATGCATAGAATTAATCAATAATCATAAAATATGGTATGCACTAAGACTTAATTTCAACTAACCATTTCATCTTATACATGTACAAACAAAAATAGTCTTAAAGGAAACATTCACAGATAAGGCTCTAGGATTGTCAAATGGATCTTAACAGGGACAGTTGATCTAGGGGCAAGGATTGGGATAAAACCCATAAATTGTGAAATGAAAAGTAAATATATATGATATGAGAAAGAATAAGAATTCTCATGAATACGTGAGGGATACTGCCCATGTGAAACCATGCCTTCTAGCACCCCATCCAGACTGTAAGGTTTGGACCTATTAGAAATAGCACTTAAAAATGTATAATGTTCTAGTGTAGAGGGGATACTTGCACTAGGGAAGGTCCCCTGAACTAAAAAATGATCTGGCATTTTTATAAGCTAATATGAATTGTTTTTATCTTGTTATTGATGGATCTACAAAACTTTAGTTGGAATTTTCTAATCTTGACTTTTATTCAATTAAAAAATCAATTCACATTGGCTGCCATGTACAAAAGTGACAGAGCCTTGACATTTACTTGTTATTTATCATGCATTTATGGCTTAATTATCATACAACAACAAGTTATAATTTAGAGATCAGGTAAATGATTCTGAAAATAGAAATTTAATTGTGGGCTTGTTGGGGCAGGCATTGTGTAAATACAGCAGGGTGATTATGTAAATGGTATAAGACCAGTGAAATTTGCATCATCTGCACTCCCCTCAAAGATGTTTTACAAGCTAGTGACTTGATCAAAGCATTATTGTTCATTGCACAGTCCACATTAGTCCAGTCTTACTCACTTCTTAAGTCAATCTACATGAAAGGAGAAACGTTGTAAAGTAGCAAAGGCCCCATCCTCTTTTCAAGATAGTCATGAAAAGTTCTTTAGAGGCCATTAACTTGAGTTTTAGCTTCAGTCTTCAGTTTCAGTTTGAATGCTGAAATGGCCATACTGGTCAGCAAATCTTTCACTGCCCTTTTGGGTAACCATGCCCTTGACTTTAAGTTGCATGAAATGGGTGGTAATGCACACATGGAGAATCATGTTGACATTTTTCTAGAGTCATCTTCACTTCCACAACAGAATTATCATCCTTTTTCCTCATCTGTATGGTTGATTGAAACTCAATAATCAGTGAGTGCTTCCGCCACTAGTCAGTGGCACCTCAATTTGCAAATGAAACATATATCTCTGCTTTACAGGTAATGCACTCAGATCCATGCATTGTGACCAGAATGAATGCACAACTTGCAAATCATAATTGAATATACACTGTTGTTTTGGCATGTTGGACTGTAGATATCAAATGCTCAATGGCTTGTCATGTGCTTGTTGTAACCATGAAAGCATTCTGAAATTTGGAAACTGGTGCTTGTGTCATTGTTGCTACTTCCACTTCAAATTGTTAAAAAGGTGACAGCAAACAACCAGAATGTGCAGGGAGAAATCTGGGAGAGATCTAGGAGATTCACCTAGCACTCTCCTTCTCAATTATTATGGAAGTGAATAGGCATGTAGAGCAGTAACTAGTTTATGAGCTCTCTGAGAGAGGTCTGTGACATGACAAATGTAAAGGCAATGCAATTCAAAACCCTGGACCATTCTAAAAACCCAAGGACACTGTTTGCAGGTCTCAAAAAGAGTTTTAATCCAGGGAAAAGAGAAAGTCTGGTCACCCTAGTCATCAGCATGATCATAGCTTTAAAAATTCACGTAATAAAGTTTATTAACATAACATAACATAACAAATGCTGTAATGTAGGCTATAAGCCTGTTACAGATCGCTTCTAATCTAATTGTACATAATAATGCAAAATAATATTGCTCATTTACTTTCCGGTTGTACAGTAAATAGCATTTGAAAATATCTAGTGATACAGAAAACGATACATGGTTCTTTTGGTCAAAATGTTGAAAACCAGACTTTATGAAAAACACAAAGGTCTGGGGCAAGATATTTATTCTGGCCTAACAATAAGAAAAATTGCCTTCAAATTTGTCGATGAAAAACTGTTGCAGCATCCTCAATGCTTTATAAATTGGAGCAAAACCTAAGGAAATTTTGAAATCAAATTAAGAAAGTTCATTATATTTCAAATAAATCAACTCCTACGACACACCTACCTGAGAATATCCTTGCCGATCACGTTGTCTCTCGCTACCGCCAAATTATAATTTCTGAATTGGAAACCTAGTTTCCCTGTGGTCAGAACCAAATTTTTTGGTGAAAATCTATCAAATCAATAAAAACATATAAACGATATTTTCTGAAGCGAGGGTGATAACAGTAGTTAATATATCTCAGATGAAAAATGTACTCTAGTGTCTCTAGTAGGAGGGGGCGAGGTAATAAAAGTTCATTCAGGCCAATTAGAAGGGGGGGGGGGGGTGTTCACGTCGACCAGTTTTCAATAAAAGGGGGCGCTAAAAGAAGGCGGTGTTCATGCCGGCCAGTTTTCAATAGAAGGGGGTTGCTAATAGAAGGGGGGGTGTTCAGGCTGGCCAATTTTCAAAAAAATGTCAGCAAATTTCAAAAACAAAGGGGAGCTAATAGAAGTAGAAGGAGTGGATGTTGGTAAATGTTTTAAATAAAGGGCAGTGGAATTAGTAGGATGGTGATTTGATAATGGATAGATGGTTAGAGATAAAGATAGATAAACATGACAGGGGAATTATGGCAATTAAAAAATAACTACGTAACATAACAATGGGAATTATTGACAAGTGAAGATTGCGTGTTTTGGTCATGACAGATTTATAAAATTTAATAGAAAGGGGTGCTAATAAGCGAAGGGGAGAGGGCAAATTCTTCTGAATTAAATACACGGGGGGGGGCCGTCTTATAGAGACACTAGAAGTATGATTTGAGAGTTTGGAAGATTGCGGAGCAGCATTCTCTGACGCTGCGATCAATCTCGTCTTCATGTCGAGGAACTGAGTATCCTTCCTGAGGCCTCTTGTAAATCGCCAAGCTGTGGATAAAGTAAGTTACCATGAAGTAAAAATAAATCTACCTATTCTCACTGCATCCTATAATTTACTGCTGATATTTTGCATTTAAACGACTTCCCATTAGTCAGTTTTTAGTTTGGCTTGGTCATTGCCTCTCTTACTTCGCCCTTTTCGAATTTCCTAACATTTTCTGGAAGGTCTAGGCCATTGTCAGTCTGGTATGCCCTTGTATTTAGTATACCCTGTGATGCCCGGTATTAAACTGTCTTTTCATATCTAAATGACCCTCTAATAAACCTTTACGTACAGTCTATCCAGCAGTTGTATAGCTGGGAACTAACCGGTTTGTTGAGTTGTTCATGTCTCATTTGTTGAATTTATTGTTCATGGACTCTTAATTTTGTCTCGAGTAACATTTTGTAAAAAACCTTTTTATATAATAATGGCATAGATAGCTGGAATTGTTATTTCTGATTTACCATTAATGAACAAGTTGTTAATTGTGTCAGGCACTCGATTTAATCTTTGTTATGTTGTCACGTTAAAACAAGTGTGTGTTCGAGGGCAGGTAAGCTAAAATATTGGGGTTTTTATTAAAATTTAACATATTAACCTAGTGATAACTGCATTTGTTGGCTTGCATTTTATTTTTTTGGTTATATTTAGCTGATTAGGAATTTATATTCATAATCAAGGCCAAAGTTTTGTTATCCAAAGCAATTTAATAAATTTGGAATTGCTATTTTTACAACTAGGGGTCAAGATGACCAGGTACGCAACTGACCCGGAAAACCCAACAAAATCATGCAAGGCACGTGGCTCTTATCTAAGGGTACACTTCAAAAATACCCGTGAAACAGCTCAAGCTGTGAAGAAAATGCATATCAGAAAAGCCTACCGCTATCTGAAGGATGTAGTTGCCAAGAAACAAATTGTCCCATTCAGAAGGTTCAGTGGAGGTGTTGGAAGAAAGGCCCAAGCTAAGAACCACAAACATTCTCAAGGAAGGTGGCCAGAAAAGAGTGCCAAATTTCTTTTGCAGCTTCTGAAGAATGCAGAAAGTAATGCAGAAGTCAAGGTATAAATTTGTCTTAAACACTTTCTGTTTTCTATGTATGATCCTGCAGTGTTGTTGTCTCTACGTGTAACGGTGGCTTCGTAAATGACAGATGATTGTAGGCAGTTTCCATTGAGTGTACATGTGTTCTTTTGTTGGCAGTTGCATGTTTTGGTGATATCGGTGTTTTCCAGAATGGTGTTGGTGTCATGTGAGTTCAAGAGACGTTTGTTGTGACAATCAATGGCTTGCTTGATGTTGTTCATGCAGCTGTAGATGGTCTTTACTGTGTTGCAGTTGAAGATTTTTCTGAGTTTATGGTCTTTGTGGAAATGTTTGCCCATGAGGTTAAGGAATCTATGTCCCATGTTGGTGCTGACGTTTTTGCTGAATGGGGGGTTATACCAAAGAATATCTTTCCGTTTTCTGTTTTTTCTCGTGGTGGTTGAAGTTGGTTTGTAGTGTAGAGTGTATTTGCATCCACTTTCTTTGAGTGCTTTTTGGTATGGTGGCGTAGCTTGATCAAATGATGCTTTGTCAGATGAAAGTGATGATAGACGTTTGTTGATGCCGGTGGGTATATGTTTTGCTGTGGATATTGGGTGATTGCTCTCGCGGTGGACGTACTGAAGGATGGTGTCAAGCTTTGTGTAGGGCTGGAAGGTATTTTTGCTCAGATTGAGGGTGACGTCTAGGAAGTGTATGATCTGTTTGTTGGCTTAAATTGTGATGCATAGTCCGTTGTTGCTAAAAATAAATAAATATATATATAAACATATATACCTCTTTTATCAAAGTTTATATTTATATACCTGTCAGAGGTGTAGGACAAAAGAACGGGTGGGGGGGGGGGCTCTTGAATATGTCTCAAAAACAATAATAAAAAGTAGAAATTAAGTAAACTCTGAGCCCCCAAAGTCTACACTATTGAATTACTTGTCAAAAAGACATTGTTGTAATAAACTAGTAAGGATTCAAATTGAAAGTTTTTTTTATTTGTATTTGTAGTTTTCAAGATTAAATTAGTGGTTTTCCTTGATGAATGGCTTTTAAGATGTGCGACTTTTATATGTTCAATGTTCATTGTACATAACTTGATGCTGCTCTTCTCAGGGTCTTGATGTTGACTCTCTGGTGATTGACCACATTCAAGTAAACAGAGCTCCTTACATGAGAAGAAGGACTTACAGGGCCCATGGAAGAATTAATCGTAAGCAAAATCATCTTAACATTCTGTATGCTTTACACTTTTTGTTGGACCATTTAAGTTAATTTTACCATTAGCAAAAGTGGTATGAACATGATTTGAATTGATATTAGGCTCCTGTTAGATGTCAGCAAATTGGTGTATTTGCATACATAAGTAATTAACCCATATTGAAAAAGCAATATAAATTCGATTTAGTCCTTCCAAGAGTAAAGCCAGAAGCTTGTAAAAGAACAGTTGCATTCTCAACTAAAATCTGAAACATTACACAAGTGGCTGGAATGTTTTGACTCTCAATGAACTTTCTTTTAATTATACTACTGTAAATTTAAAGTATCCTTTGTTTGTAGCGGTAATTACATTTCAATGAGCTTGTTAACCTGCATGAGGATGTTTTTTTTTATTATTGGTGAAAGTGCTTTCAACATGAATGATTATATTTTTATGAGTCTTGTTTTCTTTTAGCTTACATGAGCAGTCCTTGCCACATTGAAATGATCCTGACAGAACGAGAACAAGTTGTACCACGTGGCGAAGAAGAAGTTGAAGTCAAGAAGGTTTCAAAGAAGAAGTTGGCCAGAGAAAAGTTGAAATCAAGGGAATAGACTTTTGCAATTTGTGTATAATTCAGAGCTACCAAAAAACTGTCTCTTACTTGTTCATCTTCCTGAAGTTTCAATTAGTGATGTCTAACAAACTGTATATATGAATATATACAAATACATACTAAAAAATATGAAGTCTCTAGGAAAGGATTGATGAAATGTAAGTTTGAAATGATGTCTTAATTTGCATTGAAAAGACAGCAGCTATCATGATAGGATAATCAACTTTTGAGCAATATTGAAAGAGCAAGGCAGGTGAAATGACACTATCCTGCTAATGTAGCACATTTCATTTTTTGTCATAATCTTGGAGCTCTGAGTGTCTATACAACTGAAGCAGCAGATACAGTTTGTACCATTTGATTAGATGAAAGAGAAGCTGAGCTAATCAATTGAGAAACTTGTCCAAACAAAGAAACCTCCCTGGGCTGTTCTAACTGTACATGCTGTTAATCATTAATCTCTTAGCTGATTCTTTAATCTCATATTGCTGCTTCTGATGTAGCCAGTAAATTACTGAAGTAATCTTTATACTTTGTGAGCAGATCATGAAATTCCTGGGTTTGGGAATTGCTTCAAAATTAGCAAATTCTTCGTTGTGCAAGGCTAAATTTAAAAAACAAATCAGAATCTACATGGTCAATGAGTTTGATTCCATTGAAGATTCCATTGTATGTTGGCTCAAATAGCCTGTGCAGAAAATGTGTTCCTGAATATTGTTTTTAAAACACTGGATGATCTAGAATTACAAAATTTTTGGATGGTTTTATACGTTGGACATCAGCCTTTAAATTAGGAAATTGTTCAAAAAATTTGAGGAAAAGATCATTAAATATTCAATGCAAAGGTAGACTGGTGAAACAGGGTCTGTGTGGGTACATATCCATTTAACAAGAAACAGATGGGACTCACCGAAGGGCTTTCATTGCTGAAAATAGTGAGACTCTTCAATATCTCTGTTTTGGAATGCTCATGACATTTCTGTGAGGTGATTCACATCCATTCTAATGCAGTGCTTAGAAGAAGGAAGTTTATTTTTTATGCTAACCAGCCAATCATGTTGATGGATTTTGAAGTAATATCTGTTTTTACATAGATATTGCCTTCAGGGCTGGTGATACTGGGAGGCAGTGTGCCATGGTCAGGCAAAAAAGACCTTTTTCAGCGATTTTCTCATGAGAAAATGAGTGTGGCTTTTTGTATCACACAGAAGAACACAGTGAGTCTAACCCTAACAGATACAATGTTCTGAATGAATTTTCACCTCATTGAGAGAAGAGTCAAAGATACAACAAGACTTCATGTAGAATGCCATCAATACAAGCATAGCATTCCTAAAACTTGTGACATGCAATTCTACTATGGAAAAAAGGCCAATGTGGCACCAGAAAGCTATCTTCCTAATAAAATGACAAATGACAAAAAGCTTAGGCAAAATAACTGTCAAAAGATTGCATTCTTATGAGCAGATCAAACTTTTTTTAGATTAAGTGGCAAACCTTACATTTTTTCAATGTTAAAACTAGAAAGATTGAGCAAAACACATTGAATTCAGATGGTCCTATTGTCATTCCTTACTGCATTGAATAGCACCGATATTTGGATAATTTATCAAAATTGGTATTCAAAGGATATTTCTTCTTAATAGCAATTTCTTCAAAAAATAATATAGGATTACAGATTGCAACCAGGAAAAAACCATTTTTAAATTTTAAGTGTATCTGATAAAAATTTTCATCAGTATTTTCCAGTTTATTTTGGTAGTGAAGTGCAGAAAGAAGAAAATAGCTAAAATACTTTTGCAGAGCAAAAGAAAAACAAGACTGCTACTTCAAGGCCAGTGGAATAGTCAGTTATCCAAACTCATTGATTAAACTTCGTTAGATCACAATTTGCGATCAGATTCTTAGGTGACTAGACCTAAGGACAATGTAATGGGTAACACATTTGAACAACATAGATGGCAGAGTTTTGGAAATACGGTTTGTATAATAAATTCATTCATTTTCCCAATTCAAAATATGAGCAACCCATTTTCCATATGACCTGTGGTGATGACAATTATTTCACGATTAAATTTCACTCTTACCACAGATAATAAATCATACAATACGGTAGTAAATTGATTATAAACTAGAAATGACAAATAAATGAAAGATTTACATATACTCTAAATGTTTGACTTATTTGATATAGGCTGCAATGACTGCCCACATAACCTCGTTTGAATTAGAACGCTGGGCCTCAACTTCAGGATCCAATTCCAATAACTGACGAACCCGCTTAGTTGCAAGATCATAGTCCTCGTCATTCAATGGAGCAAAAGCATTTTCCAAGACGTCTGAGGCATGGGCTAAGTATAAAAGTGCAAGGGTGCGTTTGTCCATGCGATGAGGGTCATTCACCCACTTTGTGAGCACACATTCTTGCACCTTTCGCAGAACTCGTTGTTTCATCACTGTGTCTGTCAATGGATGAGTTGTCATGTCAAATAAAAGAAAATTCTGTTTCTCAGTTGTGAGGACTCCTTTTTCAACCAGATTCTTGGCAAGACGTTCCCTCACGTTTCTAAGCTGGTACTTCAGTTTCATGGGGTTCCATGTCTCACCTAAGAGAAAGTTGAAAACAAATATATAAGCGTGCAATTCCATTTATCAAAAAGAAAAGAATTGAAAATCTGCAACATTTCCCAATAAAAGACGAAATTTAGGACTTTGTTCAAAGAGTAGAATTCAAGTCAAGAGTTAAAACTATTTTAGAAATTTAAGTATTTCACTAGGTATTTCTAGGCCATGTCTACACGAGTATGTTTTCAAATGATTGCATATTCAGGAAAACAAAGCAAAAGCTTCAGGAAAACAAAGCAAAAGCCCCCCTACATGAAAACAATGTATTTCTAAATTGTTGCATTTTCAGAGATTTTACTCAGAAAGCCCTTTCAAATGTCTGTTAGCTTGTAGATTGGGAAGGGAGAGGGGTAAAAATGTGAACAAATTATCACATTTGCAATATAAAGCGTAAGGATAAGTGGGAAGAAGCACAACCTTGATTAGTTGGAATGATTGAGAGGAACAATAAGCTTGGGCTTAAAAAGTTTCATTAGAAAGAAGGTTATTCTGAAAAGAATGACCTGGCACCTCACAATTCAAAAATGTTTAACAATTGTTGGCCACAGACTAATTAGGGTTGCATGGTGAAGAATTAATTTTAAAAAGCCCATAGACATAGCACCTGAGAAAGGCATGTCTGAAAAACATCTGCATTGATTCTGAAACTCTACAATGCAAGGAGACCTCAAAACAGCAGGCAACTATTGGATCATACATTCATGGTCAAAAGGTATCTGCAAGTTCTACAGTTTATTTACTACAGGAGATAAGTTTCAGAGCAACATTATTTGTTAAAGAAAATCTATTATAGGCATTTGTCCATGCTCAACTAGATCTTCAACATACCACTTAACAGATCAATCCATGTCTGTACTGTCTCCTGTACGTCTGTTTCCTTCAGATGTTTTAGGGCCTCATCCAAAATGACATCTCCTGTTGGTGCTTCACTTTTAAAAATCAATTTTCTATTCAAAAGACTTCTTCTTCTAGATCCTGTTTTTTCTAACTCTACACGGCCTCTTAAACCAAGCTCGATTATCATACATCCTCTAAGACCAGATGAAATGCAATCATTCCAAAACGATGTGTATCCCTGAAAAACAATTTTTGGATATTCACCTGCAACCATCTGTTAAATCTGGAATGTTAACCATTGAATTAAAATATGAAATCAACTACACAGACTGGAAATTACACCATTCAACTACCACAAAGCACCTGCATACTTCTGAGTGCTATCTGCAGTTTAAACTGTGCTAAACCTTACTTAGGTTCAAACGACCATGAAATATCAAAAACATGCATTGTATGGTGAAATGAAAAGCTAGTTTTTTTAATTTTAGTTGTTTTGACTTTGGCATACTTGGCAAATGAACTTAACTGAACGCATTATCTTATATTGGCTGTGCAAATTTCCAGCAAGTTTTAATTTGGAGGGCGCAAAAATTTAATTTGCACCTGGCGGCCACCAAATATGAAAGATTTCAGTCAAGATGATAAGCAATGGATGAAATTCATAACAGAATTATCTAAATGATTCGAAAGCTTTTAATGTTATGGTCACTCAATATGTATTACAAGCAACAAGGAGTATGTTTTGAGGTTCAGGCTTCATTATATTTGGGTATTTCAAATATATATTTGAATTAATATCAAATCAAAAAAGAAAATATCTTTAATTTCTTAACAGGCTTCACCATTTATTAGTTAGCAAATAAGTATTTAGGAATCTTTTCATAAAGGCATACTTTACCACAAGTTAATACAAATCTTTTTCTACAAACCAATGTTTTGCAATAACAATTTTGCAAACAATTTCAATTACAAAATAATTATATTGTGCAAAGAAACTTAGAAATTGCTAACAGCAAGCATTTTCAAATATTCAAATCTTGAAACATCACAATGAAAACAAAGATTTTATATCCTGGATAAACATTTTCTACTTTTATTTGGACATTATATATGTGACATTCATACTCAGAGGAGTGTTTGACGTAAAAATCTGTTAGCATGATATGTTCCTGCTCTTCAATGCTATTGTCAAACTTGCTATTGTTTTGCTCAACTCCACTCTGTGAATGATAAATTGAGCAAGCAATTTTTGTTCAATTTTGCGCGTACAAAGAAGAATGGTTAATCCATTACAGTGCGGAAATGCAACAACTCATTCTAGGATTCATTGAAATAATTTCATATATATATATCTTCCAGAGCTGTTTTGTATGCAAATATTTCATATTGGTTTCATATTTTTTGAAATAAAGAATAACATGACTTGTATTTTTGAGCATAAGGAAAAATTTGCAAAGTTTGGTTGCATTTCACAAAAGCTCTTAAATTTTTTCCCTAGTTGTGGATGTTCTTCAGTAAAAAGCTTTGTCAATTGCAGCGTTGAAAATTTTCTGTTTGCCATTCAAATTAGCATATAGTCCTATGGCAGTGTAACCAAATGTCTAAATTTTTATTATTTGCCATCAGTTCGACTAACTGGTATATTTGGCTTTCTATACAAGGCCTGAAAATACATTTCAAGCTAACAAAATTACTTGCAGCCTGGTCTCTAGCTAGATTGCATGGTACAGCAGAATTTGACAAGATCTTGAGTGCACCTACAGTTGCTTCACAAGGTTCAGGTGCTAAAAAACCATTTGAAAAGGCTGCCGAAAACAAAAATTTTTTCACGGAAAAATTGGATCTATTTTAGAAATGAAGTAGCTTTGATAAACTAGGCTTTAAAATATGGACTTTTAATGTGGTTTTTAAATCATTACACAATCAAGCACCAACTTATGTTAGTGATTAGCTCGAGCTGAAGAAATCAAACTACTCATTACGATCAGCGAATGGCATCAACCTGCAAGAACAACGATCAGAATTGATGTATTATGGGGACAGAGCCTTCTCAGTCTGTGCTCCCCAACTTTGGAACATGCTGCCCAATAATGTAAAACAAATTTCTCTAAATTTGAATATTTTTAAGAAAAACTTGAAACCCTATTTCTTTAAAATTGCTTTTAGTTAAATGGTCTTCATTGCATAAACATGAATTTTAGCCATTCTAAGATTTTTAACAAGTAAAGGACTTCTTATTAATCATCTAAATTTTAAACTAGTTATAAGCTGTAACTTTACAACTTTGTCATGTTAAGCGCCATAGATAAATTTTTTATTTGTATGTGCGCTCTAAAAATGTTTATTATTATTATTATTATAATTATTATTATTATTATTATTATCATTATTATTATTAACATTATTATTATTACCATTATTATTATCATTATCATTTTATTATTATTATTATATTATTATTATTATTATCATTATTAACATGATATCTATTCATTATGAAAATGGTAATTTAGGCTTTCAACATTTCTTTTCTTTTCTTTTAAGCAGGACAAGCATTGAAAACAGCAATACTTATGTTGAAGCTTTAATCCTGCTGAAATATTAGTATTATCATTTATATAATCATTATAACTTTCCCAGATTACAGTTCATTAAATCTAGTTTTATCATGCACCCTCAGCACTAAACCTAAACCTAACAAGCACATCTACTAGTTGAAAATAAAACATGAACTTTTTAAAATGTTTTAAAAAATATATAGGAAATTGGAAAGTTAACTACGTTGGACTTTACTTAACAAATCATTATTTGTTGCATACTTTCTGAGAGGAATATCAAATCTGATTTCTTGAATCAATTTATATTTATTATTAGGATACTACATAAGCCAACACGAATAATAGAAAAAATGATTCAACTACTGTTTGCCTGAGACACGTAGAGAGCTCCAAACGAACGAAGAAATCTTTGTTTCTAACCTTCGAGTAAAAAAAAAATGACCTAACTTGATGTGTTAAATTCAAATATGTCAATTCACCACCCAAGTTAAACTGGTTTTGCTCAATTTAGAGTTGTCATCAGATAGAAGTTAATGTAAACAGGCACAGGCAACAGCGTTGATTTCTGCAAAAAAACCCGAACGAACCTCTCGATCTTTTAGGCCCAACAAAAGAACTTCTTCCATTAGCGTCAACCTCGTTTCTTTGTCCGTAGATTCTTCTTCCTCTGCATTTTGATCTGGACTTTCTACAACTTGATGATCGTCAGCATCAAATGCTCGAGTTCTAGGGCCACCACCCGAACGATTAGTAACGGTTCTGCGTGTGGCCATAATTGATGCAAAGTCGAATTCCGAAGACTTCACATTACTTCCAACTCCGCCATTGCTCCCCGACGACGTAGTCAATTTTTTGAAACCGCTGACCAGCACCACGTCTCCTTCGCATTATCAAATTTCATTCCAGGTTTGGCTTTTATCATGACACTGGTATGTCCTTGATGATTATCATTCAAACGAGAAAAATGGAAAACGCTTCGAAAATTATCAAAAAGTAATCAGAGAATAGTCAAAATGGCCATGGCACAAATGCAGGACAGGCATTGATTGCAGCAATTATTTTTCTAAGCTTTTATCCTTTCGCAATATTCATATTTATTACAATTAGGCCCAATTATTATCATAATTTTAATCGTTCTTGAAATCTTATCTAGTGCCAACTACTTTTGTCTTGAGATATCGTTAGTTTATAAAATCAGTATATTTTATCTGCTGCAAGTCAAAGATAAGACATTATAAAACAGTTCTTAATAGTTCTGCATAGAATTTCGTGAGTAACTGCTCAGGTTGAAAGAAAATTGTAAAAAAGAATATAATCTGTAGAATTAGGGGTGAAATCTACCAAGACCAAGAGGTGAATTGTAAGAAAAAAGAAGAATAAAACATTTAGTCAATCATTTCGAGCTGATCGTAGTTTTAATGCTTGCAAGTGCATTTAGATATTCTTTTGAAGATCATCTTCTGCGATAAGGCCTTGGGTAACAAAGACTTCTTCCACCACGTCAAGCTTTGACAATAAACAAATTCTTATAGATTTAAGCACAGAGGGCATTTTTGTAATCGAAACCTGGCAGTGTTTACTTGCAAACGAGGTTAGCATTTTTACGAAACGGGCGCCATCACCTTAGTTTCCGTGAACAATCGTTTTTTCGTTTTACACGTGTCAAAGCATTTCAATAATGCTTTGTGGAGGAAACCTTGTTATATCAGGAATCATCCTAGGGCTTTCCCTTTCCAAAAATGGGCAGCTCTAGATTTATATAAGGCGGTTCTAATTGAAAAATTGGCAGTTCTATTCAATCCTCAATTTAAGGAAATTTTATCACTGCAAAATCAGGGTGGTTTCATAAAAAGTGGCCAGGTCGAAAACGCGGAAAAATCAGAACACGCGGAAAGGTGAACAAACAAAGCAACAGAGCTCTTTCAAGAATTGAAATATGAGAACTTATTTTCAAAGGAATGAGAATTCCGCGTTTTCCGCGTTTTCGATTTTGAAGGAGGGTGAAAATCGGAAAAACAATATCGGAAAACTGATTAATAATGTCGGAAATTACATTACTCCAAACAGTCATCTTGAACTTTTGCAGGCGATCGTTTCTGCTGACGCAACAACGCTCAGGAAAGAAATCTTGAGAGAATGTCTGGCAGCATCTCTGTGATTTGATGCACCTATGGACAGAACCCGAAAAGATAACGAATTTATTCTTTTGAAGATCACAACGAAAAGCAGAGAGGGGGAATTGCGTTATCTGGGACTTGGCTATGTATCTGGCACTGGTGCTGCCGGGCACTGGGAGGTAATAAAAGAAGGTACAAAAGATACCATAGGATTCCAATCTGTTCTTAAGATTGCAAGCCATATTTCCACTGATGGGGAAAATAAAAATGTTGGTCAGCATGGGGGAATTTGGAAATTGATTGACGATGAACGACGTAATGAAGGAATAGATTTTCCAATGCTAAAATCAATCTGTGCAGTCCATTCATCTGCACTTGCTTACAAATGATCATTGATATCAAAGCTTTTGATCATTTCCACAGTTTTTCATACATCAGCAGCTCGAATGGCTGAATTAGAAAATACCGCAGAAGAAAACAAGTTGAATGTAAGGCATTTTCCAAGGCTCTTTGAGATAAGATGGGCACAATTTGCTGCTCAATTGATAGACTCGATCTTAGTATCGTGGAGAGCACTCTTGGTATATTATTAAAGTTTAACTATCAACAGGCAAAGATCATCAACTTCGGACAATTTGCAGTTGATTTGCCTTTTAGGAGACGCCTATTTCTATTAAAAAATTTCCAGAAAAGCCTAGAAAGTGACGACATTACTAATGTATACATTGTTTCAGAGTCGAAAAAATTCTTAAAAAAGTCAGAAAAGCTGAATGAGAAAGAGTTCCTTGGAGGTTGGGAGGAAGGTTTCAGTACCAATCATAACAAGGATAATTGTACCTTTTTCGGGACAACGTTATCGCAGAAAGAGAGGCAAAATATCCGTTGACATCACATTGTTTCTGAACAAAGAAGTATTTGGGCAGTCCGAATTGAGGTGTTGGAAAGCCTGAAAAACGTCATGACTACTAGGCTAAAATTGGACAGCTGATTTCAAGAAAGCTTGGGAAAGTTCATAAGGTTTTTAGCAACTGATAACGAAATAAGGGAAGTTCATGCTGCTGTTGCACCAGATCTAGTTTTAGCATCGATATCTGAGCATTATGACGATATCAAGCAAAGTGACATCAATAAAAACATTGTCAAACATGTCTTGAAAGTAATTTGCACAACAAAGCAACACGAATACAAACCCCTAGCAACAGTTTTAGCACACATTTCAGTTTGCAAGCCTCACTCAGTGGATTGTGAAAGATTAGTGTCTGCCTACACCAATTTGAAGTCGAGTACAAGAGTCTGCCTAAAACGCTCAACCATTAGCAATTACTTGTATGTCAATCTCAATATGCCTGTTTTAGCTTCCTTTGATCCCAGACCAGCAGTAAATTATTTCATTACAGAGAAAGACAGGAGAATAAGATACACCCCGAAAGCTGATAGGCAGGAATGGTATAGAAAAGTATTTTGGGGCAGTGAAATGATCGAACAAATGGAGAGAAAAGACGCAGAAAAGGATATGAGAGAACATTTTTAAAACATAGTAACTGTGAACTTTTATACGCCAGAAACCGTTGATTTGTTTGCTTCGCTTTTCATGTTATTACCATTATGTTCTCTTTGCTATTTTTGTTACTTTTTGTCGTATGAATTCTCTATGTTGCTGTTTCAACTAATTCATCACTGCAATTTTCCATTTATCACGACACATTTTGGATTCATCATTGCACAAAACGTTTATCACTGTGCCTTAAAATAAGGCCTGGTTCTATTTTTCAAATTCCTTGTGTTCTTGAAAATTTAAGAAAAAAACAACATAATAAAACGATCACATAGCTACAACCAGTTTTTGCACCAGAAAAAATTTTAATTTCAGAATCTACGTGTATTAAATTCGGATCTATCAGAATACTCTTCGTCTCTTTCATCTTAATTCTCTTCTGCATTTTTTGCTTCCTTGCAACAGCCTTTAAATCATCTCTGCTCTCATGCTTTTGGTGAATCTTTGGCTTGCCTTTCTTTTCTGTTACAGGGCCATCGGAAGCGGGGATGGGGCTGGAGCTCCCCAATAATTGTCAAACTGTAGTGTATTTCCTTCACAACAGTGTACTGAATGGGAAGCAATACAATGGGTCCCCCCCAATGAACTTTGTTCCGACGGCACTGTGACAACTAGTCTTGCCTCAAACTGGCTTAATTTCGGAATGTTGTAGTAGACGTACAAATGCATATTTTGTGTCTTTAAATCAAGTGTGTTTCTGGACGGTGTTTTCATTGAATTTCAAGCATTAGCGAATCTCCCATCAATGCAAGAATATGGGATTGCCTGCAGGGACTCTTGCTACTGCAGTTGTAACATTATCAAACATTCCTTTCATTTCTGCCAAAATTTCAACAAGATTGCATAATGGTAGTGTTATTAGATACTTGCTGCTAGAACAACCAATAAGATCGCCAAATTTTAATGACAACAACTAAAAAGCTCAGGTCCATATCTGAGCAAAGCAATTCATGAACTTTCTTTATATCTGGTAATTCATCCAATGCTAGGAATGGTTTCAACAACCAATGTACGTAGTCCTTCACTAGTGACGTCAAACCTCTGTGACAGGTATTCAATCAAGCTTTGAATGACTTTATTCTTAACTGTTTCTAAAACAGGTGACTGGCAGCTCGCAATTTTCCTTAGGGTGGCTCCTGTGTTTTATGAGTCGATTTCAGACGCAGAATAACATCGTAGAGGTACTTAAGGCAGTCAGTCATGAGATACTTGGGGCGGTCAGTCTTTGAGAATGGATAGTGTTTATGAAAAGAAACAATCAAAAGGTCGTGGAGAATGGTTGTTTCTGAAACCTGCAACTTAGTAAATTCTCTCAGGATTCCGGAATTTCTCATGTTTTGAGCATCCTTGTTTCTAGGCAGGGAATAAGTAGCACACCGACCTATGAAGGTTGACGGAAATTACATGAAAAGTTAAGGCCTGTCAGTAAAATCTTTATAGAACACTGGCTTCTCTTTTCTATAGCTTTTGCAACAAAATTGGCTTGGTCTTGCGCAAAACTTATTGAAAGTTGACAAACGGTTATTTTAGATTCCTAAAATAATATTTTCTCAGACATTTTTGCTGGTCGTGCATAAGATTTGTTTTAGCCATGGTGATTTTTTATGAAGTCATTGAAGTCGAAATTCGATTTTTATACCCAAATATTTAGTATCTTTAAGTAACATGGTTTCCTTCTTTCTTTTATTTCAAGTTAAATTGATGAGATTCTCTGCATGCTTGATGATCATTCTCTGCTGTAAAAATAGATCCTGAAAGTTATGAACACCGATAATGACATTGCAAGTTCAATAAACTTAAATTTCACAATAAAAATCGTTGACAATTTTCTAGTTGTTTGATTTGGAGATCAAAGTTAGGCATTATTTGATTAATCTTAAAAGTACAAACGTCGTTAAGTTGAAAAGCTCTAGGCTCCATTAGGAATGTGTTTTCTTGAATGTGGCTGTTTGAAAAGCTTTACTTAGTAAGGGGCCATTCACAAACGATGTCGAGCGTAAAGATAGATTTTTTGACCCCCTCTCTCTTAATCTGGCATCTTCTATATTCAGAAACCATATCATTCTGAAAGCTATTCAACCATGCGTATGTGAAGAGAATTTAAAAAGCCGTTCTTTGTTCCAACCAGAAACTGACTAGATAAACAATTTTTGATTTTCTAATAGACTTTTGTATGTTGTTATATTGAAATAATGCATTTGATGTAAGCAGCAAAAGTTGTTTTTCACTCTTCGTCTAAGTAGTCAGTTTCTGTGAATGGCTGCTTCAGAAAGATGGCATTATCCACAAGAGGAGCTTTGTCGCTCACTGCCACTTCATCTTCCTCGTTTGCTGCCTCATTCTCTGTGACACTCTTCACTGCCAACCTTTTTCCGGCCAGTCATCTTGAGGTGCATCTTTGCCAGCTCTAAAGAGGTGAAAATTTGCTGGAACTTCACAAAACTGCACTGGTATATACTGCCACACCTTTCTGCAAGCTTTTTCAGCACAGATGGACAGAATAAATAATATGACAAGTCCACTTGCTCGTAGCCCTCTCTAGTTTTTAAGACGTGATATTGCCATGGATTGCAGAAGACCTTCGTTAAATCTTTTCTTCTTTTACAGGCTGTTCTCCAATACTAGCCAACTGCGGCCCACCTTTAAAAAATTTTTTATGAGAAGTAGGCCTGCAAGATACCTTTCCTTTATGGCTGTCCGAATATTTGACGATAAGGTCACTGCAAACTGAGACTTGAATTGTCTTTTTCTATTATTCAGAAACCTGGACGTTCGGATTGCGTAAGAACCTATGCCCCCTATGTCCGAATCTGTCCGGATTCACTAAACCCCCTCCCCCTTTAGTTTGGACGTCCTTTGCTAATGGCCCTTAATAGAATATCTAGATTTTCACATAGCGAAAGCAAAACAATTGTACCTTGATTCCGAACTTGAGCCATTTTAATTAAAAGTAAAAAGAAACTACTGAAACACAACAGGTATATATGTATGATTACCATCCTAAAATAAGATACCAAAACCATTGTCACATTAAAAGTTTGTTGAAAAAAATAGTGGCCCTTTCAATTGAAAATTCTTTTTAAATGGATTATATGTTAGTCAACTGAATCCTCTTTATGTTTGTCCTGGGCATAGCGATAGGATGGTATCACCTTGTCTCTATCAAACTAGATGACTGCAAAGGTTACCTAACAGGGCGTTTCCGCCCAGCTCTTCGTTTCCTGCTTTGTTTTTAGTTTGATACATCAAAGAACGAAAATTGTAAACACCACGATATCACTGGTTTAGTCGACAAGTTCAATTTATATTCTGCAATCTATTTCCAAATATTAGATATACGATGGGAGCCCAGAGAAGAGCCTTGAGAAACACCAGCCTTGATACTTCTAATTTCGAATGTAAGTCTTAATTCAACGAAGAGAGTCTAGAGAAGAGTCTTGGGAAACACAAACATTGACACTCAATTTGAATGGTGTTTTACAAAAGGAAAGGGAGCCTATAGAATAGCCGTGAGATACACCAGCAATTATACTTCTTATTTCGAATGGACGTTTTACACAACAGATGCTGCGGTGCAGTGCATTGTTGTATTTATATTTCACAACAAGGTGCATTTGTTTTTCAATAAAATTAAATTTTGATTGATGAATTCCACACAAAGAAACATCAGATAAGCAAGAAGAACAACTTGAAAGATAAACTGAAAGATATATCAAAACTATTTACTAATTTAGTGCTATGGGAATTTTTCATAACAAATCATAAAACACAACTTATAAACAACACAAATACAACACAAGTACGACACAGATACAACATAGAAACAACAAAGATACAAAGCAACATAGGCTCTATGCTTTCCAGAAAATGTTATTATGATTTACTGATATGGAATGAAAAAATCTTTCGTTTTCAGATTTATACTGCAGGAACATTCATTGTATCTGGAGGTCGGCATACCCGCTTTTGAACTGCAACAAACATTTGAACTTGAAATTTTTGTCAGCATAACTTGTATTTGTAATTATTGAAGCTATTTTTCCTTGTTGTTTATTTATTAGCATTGCGCCACTCTGTGTATAGGCCATAGGGTAGTCATGATCTATTGCTCCCAATGGTATTGTCCCTGGAATGCTGTACAGTAAAAAGTACAGTAGGGTAAAAAGTGATTGTCATACTTTAGATACATAGAAAAAACCGTAGCAAAAATTTTCTTAGCCATTTGAAAACAAAACTTTAATAGTAAACGTAGCATATTTTTCTATTTGTGTATCGAAAAATAGATGTATAATATATCATTGACTTGAATCAATGCAGCCCCTGCAAATATCACAGCAATCTTTCACGATAATAAAGTAAACTCACTCATTCCTTTCAAATGAAACTTCGCTGAAAATTTTGGTTTCTACCGAGAGCCCCCTGCCTACCTGGTTGCATCATGACAGTAATCTCTCTATCGACAACTTCTATTGTGCTATTCCTATTGTTTTATCGTATTACATTTTATTGGCAGGAAATCTGAAAAAGAGTCTAGACTTGCAGGTACAGAAAAATCTAGTCAAACGTTCATGATACAACGGGCTCTATCCCATGTCCAACAAATTTTAAACCAATAGTTTTTAAATAGTTATTTTGGCTTTGCTTATTCAAACATCATATCTGCAAATTTTGGAAGTTTCTACTCTGTATCGTCGCGCTACCAAATCGCCAAGAACAATTTTGGTAAGATCCATGATAATACTGATTGTGATAGAGGGCAGCTTATCCCGGTGACGGTTCTGACAAACGTGCTGTTTGGCAGGTGAGGTCAAGAACTGGAAAAGGAGAATGTTCTGTTATTAAAATACAATGGCAAATTTGCCACAAATTACAAAGATGCCCTTAGAGTAAGCTAACGCAAGGACCTCTGAAAACACACAACACAGTAGTTCATCAAGGAAAATTTTCATCAGCGTAGAGGTCGTCTGGTTTAGGAGTATTTCACGTGGAAAGATACACTTTGATTGGGGGACAGGAAGCGTAAAAGAACGATTGAGATTGAGGCTAGAGAAGCCAGTATCCAACAACAACACAACATTCGGACAGGCAAGTAATAAAAATTATTATTCAAAATCGGTCTTTAAATATTTAGGACGATTTTGATAAATTTTATATCTATCAGAAATTTTTAGCTACAATCGGAATCCTTGTTGTTGACAACGAAATGAAATCATGGTACGAGGATTAGGCGTTTTGTTGTTCTCCCAGCAGCTGCATTTTTGCACCCTCTTGTTTTGCAAATCTGTCTGCCCCTCTTTTAATTAATCGCGTCACTGGGATTGCGTGTATATTCCGTGAATCGTTTGCAAAACCAAGGAATGCAAAGAAACTGTAGCAACATAGTAAAACAGCTTGCTCCCGGAAACTTTCACTTTGCAAATCATTTTAATCGAGTTTGATTTTTGAATCTTGATAGACTGACATAAAATTGGTCGTCTTAGTTCTATCGTAACTACCTTTATCAAATATTTTTCTAATGAAATGCAGTACATCTGACATTTTAAGTCTTTCTCAGTTTATAGCTATAAATATTTTTTTGTTTCTTCGGTTCCAAGAAGCTTTGGTGTTGTATGTAGTTATACCAAAGAATTGTGTGCCATGAAGCAAGCTATCAAATTTTTGTAAGTGAACTACGTAAGGTAACTTTAAATGCTTTTGATTTTGTGACCCGGCTACTTATACCATGAAGATGTAAATGGAGTATATGAAGTGGGGAGGGGGGGGGGGGGGGGGGTTATACGACACTATTTTTCAAACATGCTAATAAAATTTTCTGTTATGGTTTGTTGTGATTAGAAGCCTCCCCCCCCCTTCGACGTTTCTGATATATTTAGACTACCATCAAAATCGTCTTTGATCTGAATCTGCAATCATTCGCAAACCTCCATAACTAGACAAAAAAGTCTAAAAATGTAAGCCATTCAACCCTTAGCAAAAAGAGGGTACTTTTTAAAGAGTTTTCACATACCATGAAGGATATCTTCGCTGAGCAGGCTCAAGGCTGGATTTCTTCCACTGTTGAAATTCAGTATATCAAATACTCTAATGGGAGATTATTTTTTTAAGCCGATTTTCTATACACTAACTCGTTCTTGAAACATCAAGTTCATTATTAGATAAAAGCTGAACATACGGTTCCAAACAGATGATGAAAACAACCTCATTCCCAATCCAATTACAGACATATAAACTTATTCTATTATAGATAATGAATCCTTTTTAGGCTGGTTATGTGCTAGGGATGATCTCGATAATGTCCGGCTTTTTAGAAAATGGCCCTGCTCAGTTGATAATAGCGAATCTTCTTTGCAAGGATCTGTCTTGTACCACGTGGTTGTGATGGAAGGGGTGTATAAATTCGAAAATGGGGCCATGTATAAAGGACAGGGGATTTTCTTTGTTGCCAAAGACAATGCTGCAGGCAATGGCGTAGCTTGACCTTGAAGACTGGGGGTCAAGGGTCACCAATAGTATAATTTACAGACGGAGATATTAACCTATCGATAGACGATTTTGCTAGCAAACTAAAGATTTTGTGGACCAGCTAAAGATTTACCAACGAACCCATCAAGAATTGGGTGCTGTCACAAAAGCATCTCATAAATTTTTCTGTCCTTTTTCCTCTGTCTGCTAATTTATCACACATCATTTTCTGTAATTTTTCATTTTTGAACGAAACGATTGTTTTTGTATTAAAGAAATATTCAAAAGAGGTCTGACAGGGCAGTTGCGAGTGATGTTTGAAAGAAACAAACCCACTTTTCTTGCAAAATCGAGCTTAAAATTACGTACGTAGTCAAATCAAAATAATCTTGAGGTAGGAACGTGATAAGCAAAGCATATTTTTTATTGCTACGCTACAACTAGTCTAAGCGAGAGAAGGTGGAAAAGGCCCCAGAAAGCCAGTCTTGTTTTCTTGAGCATGTGCATGCTTTATACTTCTAACATGCACTGTCGCAACAGATGGCAAAGCTTAATCTAAGGGGGAGGGGGGGAGTGAAAATATAATCAGTTGCCCATCCCAAGAATCTTACAGTGTGTCCTCCAACAACAAATTTTTAAACGCCAGCCTTGGCTAGATTTGTTTTCGTATCTAATGAGACGCCTATGCAGAAATTCTTGATGATGATATCAGTGTATCAGTATTTTGGCTAACGATTTCTTCCGCTACACGTTAAGACTGCGAGAATCTCTCGTACTTTTGATCGAAGAACAGCTAAAACCAAAATAACAATTTCCTCAGTTTTAGTCTAAAACAAGATTTAATTTCATAACGACTTTTTTAGGCACTTGAGCGAACATTTGTCCATAATCAGAGATAGAGTCGAAGGGCAAACAAAAACAATATTCTGGAATATATCTCAAGGACATGGTCCTAAAGGCCGTGCTTAGTTAAACAATCTGGGTCTGGCATTGTACTCATCAACACTCTGAGCTATCGGATAACATTTACCCCAAGTCCAATTGGCCTAAAATCGATGTAAATCATTGACCACTTGGCCAATTCCGAAAAGACCGACTGCTTGTATGAATTTCGAATTTAATTTTGCATCCATTGTTACTTCTTTTAGACTACTCCCCCCACCCCCACCACCATCCCCCTACTCCATTCAGCTCTAACTCTTATCTATCCTTTTTGTTTTTCTTGATTCGTGGGACCCTGAGATCATTCATATCCAAACAGGTTTGCGTGGAAGGGAATTTCTTACAACCAATGCCAAACTTAGTGAAACACAATAACTGCAGTTAAATAACGCAGATTAATGCTTTAATTTCCGTATGAAACAATAATATCCTAATCCTAATCCAGACAAAACGATTGTCTTGACTCCATTGGAAACGATAAATGGAGGACTTTGTTTCAGACCTGTCTTAGGCAAAAACACATCGTTCGATAAATTTCAAGTTTGAGCAATTGTTCATTTTATTTCTCTTTCGATTTCACGTTGTGTTATTCCACCTTAAGGATTAATATTATAAGGAATAAGCTTTAAAGCATAAACAAGAGAAGGAACCTTAAGTTTTGGGACAAAAATTGTCTGGGTTGATCGGCAGACCAGTCCGGCCAGTTTGGAAAAGTTACGTAGGCCATTCTAAAATGATGACGTCACGAAATTCAATTTGTAGAATTTTGCAATTTTGACCGTATGTTCTTAAAGAGTATTATGAAATGTTTCTAAATGTGCAACAGCAGTTAAATTGGTTACAAGTTGGCTGAGATACGGCCACACTGGCACAAGCTCTGTCTTTCCATCATTATTTGAACTAAGGAATGATATGACCGTTTGGCCAGGTATGACCATAAACCAACAATGTTCTGAGCTTCAGTGTTGTTCAGAGAAATGCTTTGTGTGTTTTGCCGGGCAGCCAACTTGAAGCTTTTTATTGGCCACATCTCGCCCCATTTGCTTTACATACTTGTTTTGCATTACAAAAAGGTACTTCATAATGCTCTTTCAAGTAATGTAACCAAAATTGAAATGTCCGAAGAAATTTGATTTTGATGACGTCACACTTTGGTGTTTTATTGACATTTAAAAACCTTTTCACCCCAATCCTCCACATATGCCGTCACTATAATCTTCATTAACAAAATCAATGAATGCATACCCTCATACTTTAAAAATATGTCAAAACAAAATTCAGTCAACTAGGGACATGTTACAATTTCAACATCAAGACAGCATATTATAAAACAAAAGCAAACATGTCCACCAAACGAGTTATGCAGGTAATGTGTTGCAGTTAAAAGGTGGGAGGCCTTCGTTGTGATCCAGTGAAAATGATCCATGTAAGGGTTGACTGAAAACATTCTCATTTTTAGAAAATGATCCTGACTCTCTTGATGGACGGTCCTTGAATACCCTCGTCTTACTACTAAAATCTCAATTAACGCCCGTCAGATTGCCCTTATGCAACATCACAACAATGCAAGCACCCCTCCACTTTCCAGGCTTCAAATTTCATGCTGTTTGTTGTACCTGGTTGTACCTGGTGTAACGTAATTAGGTTGCGCGCATATGGGTGATATTAGACAATAGGCCTAAGTTATGGACACTTAAAGTCAAGGCTGGAATTAAAGATCTCTGCTGTTTCAAGGGTTTTCATTGCTGACCTAGACTGGGATCAAATAAATTCCAGCTCCCTTTATCCGGAACAATAAAGACCATTGTTTTTCATATTCCAGTCAACCGATTATTTGTCCTCCTCTGTCCTGGAAAGCCGGGAGAAACTGTGGGAGTACTTTCTCCATGTGGAAACTTGACCGGTAACAATATCAAATGGAAAAATATGCTACAAAGAAGTCCTGACGGAAAACTTAGTAATTAAATGGTTTTTCGTTAGGACAATGGAGCCTAAAGCAAGAAATCGACCAGGTCATCTTAACGGTGAGTGTCTAGACACGAACATCCGAGGCTAAACAAAATCTTTATAAAAGAGGGTTGGTTGTACACAGAAACGAGTATTCGTGACCTTCATTCCAGACTACATAAAATGCCAGGTGTCTTTTATTGTTTTGTAGTTGTTGGTATAAAATCAAAGAAGAAAGGCAACATTAGGCCTGTGCCTGATGTAAAGGCAGGTTGTCAAGTATTATGCCTGTTTGAGAAGATATGAGAAGTCTGCAAAGCCTCCCTTCCCTTCTTGTCAAGTTGAGGAACACAGCCGACGACAAAAATGGCAAAACTTTGCAGCTTTTGGAAAATTAGCAATGATTGAACCCAAAATTATTTTTGCTCTCGGCAAATGCCCAATTTCTTTGACAAGTGCCTTAAATTCAAACAGCAAAGCAATTGAAATAAAAATATTTCTTTCAAAATTTCGCAAAATAATGACAATACTGAGATCCGTACTTCAAAGTAAAATGATCAGCTAGAATACCTTGATTGTTTATTTGCAGACAAGCTAAAGAAAGTGACAAACGAAATTTTTCTAGGTGAACAAAGACTTTGAAAATCTTTGATTTAAAAAGTAAAAAATGCAGTTGTGTTGCTGAAACGCAAATCTTCCATTAAAAACTATTATTTATTATTCAGTTTTCCATT